AAACTTTATTTCGTTTCGTTTCATTTCATTAGTCACTGAACAGTGAGAAGTAAAACTTTATTTCGTTTCGTTTCATTTCATTAGTCACTGAACAGTGAGAAGTAAAACTTTATTTCATTTCATTTCATTTCATTAGTCACTGAACAGTGAGAAGTAAAACTTTATTTCATTTCATTTCATTTCATTTCATTAGTCACTGAACAGTGAGAAGTAAAACTTTATTTCATTTCATTTCATTTCATTTCATTAGTCACTGAACAGTGAGAAGTAAAACTTTTATTTCATTTCATTTCATTTCATTAGTCACTGAACAGTGAGAAGTAAAACTTTATTTATTTCGTTTCATTTCATTTCATTAGTCACTGAACAGTGAGAAGTAAAACTTTATTTCGTTTCGTTTCATTTCATTAGTCACTGAACAGTGAGAAGTAAAACTTTATTTCATTTCATTTCATTTCATTTCATTAGTCACTGAACAGTGAGAAGTAAAACTTTATTTCATTTCATTTCATTTCATTTCATTAGTCACTGAACAGTGAGAAGTAAAACTTTATTTCGTTTCGTTTCATTTCATTAGTCACTAAACAGTGAGAAGTAAAACTTTATTTCATTTCATTTCATTAGTCACTGAACAGTGAGAAGTAAAACTTTATTTCATTTCATTTCATTAGTCACTGAACAGTGAGAAGTAAAACTTTATTTCACTTCATTTCATTAGTCACTGAACAGTGAGAAGTAAAACTTTATTTCGTTTCATTTCATTAGTCACTGAACAGTGAGAAGTAAAACTTTATTTCATTTCGTTTCATTAGTCACTGAACAGAGAGAAGTAAAACTTTATTTCATTTCATTTCATTTCATTAGTCACTGAACAGTGAGAAGTAAAACTTCATTTCATTTCGTTTCGTTTCATTTCATTAGTCACTGAACAGTGAGAAGTAAAACTTCATTTCATTTCGTTTCATTTCGTTTCATTAGTCACTGAACAGTGAGAAGTAAAACTTCATTTCATTTCGTTTCATTTCATTTCATTTCATTAGTCACTGAACAGTGAGAAGTAAAACTTTATTTTGTTTCGTTTCATTTCATTTCATTAGTCACTGAACAGAGAGAAGTAAAACTTTATTTCATTTCGTTTCTTTCATTAGTCACTGAACAGTGAGAAGTAAAACTTTATTTCATTTCGTTTCATTTCATTTCATTTCATTAGTCACTGAACAGTGAGAAGTAAAACTTTATTTCATTTCATTTCATTTCATTAGTCACTGAACAGTGAGAAGTAAAACTTCATTTCATTTCGTTTCATTTCATTTCATTTCATTAGTCACTGAACAGTGAGAAGTAAAACTTTATTTCATTTCATTTCATTAGTCACTGAACAGTGAGAAGTAAAACTTTATTTCGTTTCGTTTCATTTCATTTCATTAGTCACTGAACAGTGAGAAGTAAAACTTAATTTCGTTTCATTTCATTTCGTTTCATTTCATTTCATTTCATTTCATTAGTCACTGAGCAATGAGAAGTAAAAACTCCATTTCATTTCATCAAAAACACAGTTGAAATGAAAATATTTTTTATAAAAAAAATGACATGTCTATTTTACATAACGAAAATATTACAAAAAATTAACGTTCTCGATAAAATTAGTAACAAAATTTCTAAAAAAAAATATTAACAATTCTACAGCTAAGCTAGGAAAATCAGAATTAAATTACTTTAGGAGCAAAACCTAAGAACATTGAAAAAAAAAACTGAAAAAGCATTTTGGACCTAATTTGTACTTAATTTTCCCAGATAGTTAAGAGACCATTAAAGATGGGTTCCCTTATTTTTATTTATGAAAATGAAAATGCTAATACTTATATGAATAGAAAGTAGAGGTGTTCTAATGACTTGGAAAAATACCAGTTTGTCTCACATGTCCATAATTAATTCATAATTAGCTAAATTAGAAGAGAATTACCAGCAGAATTCCAAATGAGTGACCGATCAAGAAAGGTCAAAAAGTCTTTTTTTGTTTATCCAGACTGTACATACAAGGACATTTATGATTGGTTCAAACTCTTAATTATATGCAATAAGAACATAATGATATGATTAAGAATACATGATAATTCATTAGAAACATCAATTAATCAAATAGTTAGCTTAATTTGACACTAAAAAATAAGGAAACCCATCTTTAATTTGACACTAAAAAATAAGGAAACCCATCTTTAAATTCATTTTGGGAAGCATTTCACGCTGTTTATACCGAAAAGAAATGAATCTTAAATTATCAAAAGTTGTACTTGTTTCCAAATTTCAAAAATAGCAAAATACAAAAAAATTTCATGATTTGATGAATCAAGTTTGGAGGGAATGAAATCGTAGTTAAGGCTTTGCGTGGAAGGGCAGGATATCTTATTTTGGGTTTAGAATGATGCTTGGACCAAATACATTTGTTAGATTTTTTGCGCTTTTAGGGTCTTTTTGATGAAAAATTTTCAAGTTTTTTATGCCTTTAACTTTAGGCCGGTTCTTTTTCTAAATTTAAGCCAAGGTTATTTGAAATACAGTAATCTGATTGGTTGATAAACAAGATTTAAAGTCTCTTTTAATGATTTACCAATCAGATGACTGAATTACTTAGTAATCTTAAATTTTTGAAAAAAAAAGGCGTAAGTTGTTTAAACAATATGGAATCCAATATGGCTGCGGACCCAGACTACAAAAATTTTCGTCTGATTTTTGGACAAATTTTTATATTTGTCTGAACTTTAAAGAGATTATTTCTTTCTTAACCCTGCACTAGTCCCTTTAAACTTCAGAAACAATCTAAAAATAGACTCTCAAAATATACAAAAATGATCATTATACAAAATACATGAAAGTATATACAAAAATATATTATAGTGGATAAAACTCAAAGGAATAGAGCTGTCGAATGATTACATTTTATTGTAGACAAACCTTAAGTCAGATTCCCTTTCTGAGAAGAAGAATTTGACTAGTGTTCGTCTGAAGCTGTTTACGTGTTGGATAGACAACCCTCATCAGGACAGCTTGTTAACTTCCTTATGAACAGCTGAAGTTATTTTTTTTAGACAGCTCTATCCCTTTAAACTGTTGAGGCATATGGACAACCAAATCAGCAAAAATACAACATGGAAGTGACAATCAATAAGAATGAATGATGTATTTTCCCTGAAATAGTTGTGAATGAAATAGCCTTAGTGATTTATATACAATTATGATTCAATTTAAAGGGAATTTTGGTCAAATTTGAAAAATTTACATTTTGAAATATTATGAATATTTAAAAAAAGGAGGACACAACTTTAATATTACATTTGCTTTTGACCTCCCTCTTTAAAGGCACTCTAAAAAAAATGTTCAAAAAAATTAGTTGAATCCCTTTAATTAAATGCAAAATTAGTTCTGTGCATGAGGGAAATTGCAAATTTTTTGTATGATTTTAGCCAATAATAATTTTATTGTTGCAAATTTGAAATCAAATGACTTCAGTTTAGCACTTGTTCCATGTCCATTTTGCACATAATAAAGATCTTATATTCTTTTATCTGATTGGTCAATCACTAGAGTGAATTAGAGTAAAGAACCAATCAGATTGTAGTAATTCCAAAAATATGGATTTTCCTTAAAATCATAACCATTAAAACTAAACCAGTTAATAGAAATTTTGGAATGTAAAAATCTTGCGGAATTTTTTTTATGAAATTTGATCGAAGATGACGTCCAAAAGACCAGAAAAAAAGATTATTTATGAGATGGTATTTTCCGAGTTATATAAAATCATATTTTCTAGTCCCGGTTTATATAAAAATCTTATTTTCTGGTCCCAGTTTATATAAAATCATATTTTCTGGTCCCGTTTTATATAAAATCATATTTTCTGGTCCCGCTTTATATTACTTTTTGGTCCTGGTTTATATAAAATCATATTTTCTGGTCCCGCTTTATATAAAATCATATTTTCTGGTCCCGCTTTATATAAAATCTTATTTCTGGTCCCGCTTTATATTATTTTCTGGTCCTGCTTTATATAAAATCTTCTTATCCTACATATCGAGGGTAAAAGAGTTAAAATGATATGAATTTTAAAAAATGTCCAAAACGGTTGTCCTAGTAACGACCTCCATATTGTTTCATCCCATACACAGCTTCCCGTCTGTTTCTCTGAGATTCCACAGACAGACGCAGCGATTCCACGAGTAGGCACATTCCTCCGAATAAACTGAAGAATCCCGAAAGGACGGCGAATCCGAACGACCAGGACAGGAAGTTTGAATCGGGATGGGGCAGCCATTGGCGATCTACTTCAGCTTTCACTCCAAAAATGATAGTACATATAGCTATTACCAGACCTGAAAAATACACAATTAAATCAATGCCAAGAGGTTTGGGCAAGGAAAAGCTAGTAGACAAGATCCTCATTATTCCAGTTGACCCAGCTGTAAATGGGTACAGATCAATACCAAGAGGTTTGGTCAAGGACCAGCTGGTAGAAAGGATCCTCATTATTCCAGTTGACCCAACTGTAAATGGGTACAGATAATCCAGGAAAGATCAAAGCCAAGAGGTTTGGCCAAGGACCAGCTGGTAGACTCTAGGGCTAATCATCCATCAAACTTACCAGAAACAAAATTCATTCCTGTTGTAGCGTAAACATAATTCTTCTCCTTGGCAACCGGACAGACGTGTAGGAAGTAGAAAACCACAAACAAAATGGTGATCATCTGCATCATGAAGACAATAGTCAACAGAACCTGGATCGCCAACAACCATGCTGCAAGATAGAAACGAGATGGAGCTTTACATCTAGAGAATTAACAGAGGCAACACCATGCAGTGTCCAATCTGGCATAAGCCTACTCTACAGCCTTTTGCACATCTAGTCAGCTCTAGTCAGACATGACTGGTAAATACAACCAAATCAATGGTCTAGAGCTCTAGTCAGACATGACTGGTAAATACAACCAAATCAATGGTTTAGAGCTCTAGTCAGACATGACTGGTATACACAGTTCTTCGGCTCAACCTGTGGGTTGAAGTTAGTACCCCCACCCCCTTCAATTTTTTTCAAAGATAGCATGCCCTGACATTTTGTGACAATGAATTACTCACTGTCATAAATTATATCACGAATCCTTATTCCGGTCGCCATTTTGAATTTCAAGATATTTTCATTGTATCTAAAATGGCACCTTTTGCATTTACCTTTGAAGTCGCAATTCGCCGACGAAACAGGCTTTCAGAAATTCGAAATTTAGAAATACATTCGAATACTTACGTGGGTTCAAGTAGGACCACACTGGACGATATTCGAACGAAAATATCCACCAACATCCATGATACCTTTTTCCCAAATAATCCTTATAGTACGTCCAGTCATTGAAGCAGGCTTCCCAAAGCCCCATTTTGACAAATTCCCTGGACCGATCCGTGAAAGATTCGATCCAGTTCGGGGTAGCGAAGGACACAAGCAGGCATATGAAAGCCACAATCGTGAAAATTAGGCCAAAAATTCCAACCAAAGTTTTTCTCAACGCCATTTTGAAGCCTAATTTTTGAAGCGTTTGTAATCAACAAAAAGGTGAGAAGTCTAGATCACCTGGTGACGTGGTTGAAATGGTCGTTGAAAGTGTGAGACTGGTTGGTGGAGTCTATGGTGACAAATCTTAGGACGAGTTTATTATGACAATAACACAGGTGAAATCAGGTAGACCCAAAATTGTTACATAACGGGTTTTTCTTGTGTGTTTTATGCATAACAAGTTAAAGGCGCATATATTTGGATTAAGTGAGCCACGATCCCCTCTATTAATTTGTATGTTTTCTGACCCAGAAAATTTTAAAACCAACATGGTTTCTGTATCTATCAATGTCCCGAAGGTTTATCGCCAGAATTAGAAGGAATTGACCCCAAAATCAAGTTATCTCATCGTGCGATTAAGTAACAAGAAATGTCAAAAATTGTTATCTCATCGTGCGATTAGGTAACAAGTATTTTCAATGAAAAATCTTGTTTAAATTTTAACAATCGGATGAAAAAAAACCGTGAGAAAACCTCTTTATCACTTAAGTCATGAGTCACCATTGGGGAATTTGCGCAGGATTTTGATTCGGACACCATTTAAACGCTTGAAATTTTGTTTTCACAATATTATAAATGATTTATTGGGGGAAAAATATAAACAATTTCCGAAACGGTGAGATTCCACGTCAAAAATGCCGAAAACGCAGCCAAATCGTGCGCTACCTTTCACCCCCCATGACACCTGTCGTAATGAGATCACCCACTTTCAGGTGAAACACAGTTAATTTCAAAATGGCGACACAAACATTTCACCGTTTGTCGTTTTTCTGCGCCATTGCCGCGTTTATTTTGATGTTTGTGGCTTTTGCCAGTCCATTTTGGTATAAATCGTGGACAAGAGTTCACAGTCCGTTCTCCAATATCGGATTGTGGCACATTTGCCTGGCAGGATACATCATACCTGGCGATCCAAACATGAAAAGTTTCGTTGGTTGCTGGTGGATTCATTCGACGGAATTTGAAGGAGTCAAGACCCACTTCATGCCGTGTAAGTATTTATTTCTCAGGGGGGGGGGTCTTACTACAGTGATATCCTCCCCGACCCCCCTTTTCTATACCCACACTAGTGATCACCCCATTGACTCTAACCTAAAAATGACTCTTTTTGAAAGGGGAGAGGGAGCGATTTCTGATCTTAAAGAGTGACGCCATTGGTATCCCAACCCCTCCTTTTCTATACGCATATTAGTGATCACCCCATTGACTCTACCCTAACGATGACTCTTTTCGAAAGCGGAAAGGGGGGTGATTTTTTGGTAGGCCATTGGTATTCAATTCAGCACAATTAAAATATTTAAAATTTAATTTCAGCCTGGTTTATGGGAATTCAAGCGTTGTCCATCTTCACCCTGATAGCAGACATATTGTCCATCATAGCCTTAGTCCTGCATCTTCCTCGTAAAATCTACCAGAGATGTTTCAATCAAAAGAGATCCAGAGTTCTTTATTTGGCAAGTTTCTGTCAGCTAGTCTCAGGTACAGTAAACTTTTCTCATTTCTGAATATTTATGTAGCTTGACATTAGGACCACTCCATTTCCAAAGATTTCCCTCGCAAAATCCAATAGGCTTTAGAGAAGGGCTATGGAACTCTCTGAACAGGAGTGAGAACCCTTCTCTTACTGCCAACACATGCTTCAGATATACAATCCTTATCAGGACAGCTAGTTTTGAAATTGGGAGATTAACTTTCCCAATAGCTTTCAGGGCTCTGGGAACTCAATGATCTGGAGCAAAAAAGCTCATCTCAGGCTGCCAACACATTTTTTGGATTAAAAATCCTCACATAGACATTTCGATGGAACATGGGTTGTGCACGATTAAAGATTTAAGACAATTTAGGCTATGGTCATTCTTCTGGAACAGAAAGTATGCGATCAAATTCCATTTCATTTCATTGATATTGATTGTATGATCAAATTCCATTTCATTTCATTTCTGTATTACAGCTGGTCTGGTATTTCTGATTGCCCTGGTGTTTGCTGAGATGTGTAATGACCCAGAATGGATGCCAAGACCCTGGATGAACTACCTCTCCTGGGGCTATGGATTCTGTGTCCTCTCTGGCTTCTTCAATGCCTTTGGTGGCATGTTCTCCTTCGTCAATGCCCTCATATTTACAGACAAGGAAAGAGCTTATGAAGAAAATCCAGACAGAGTAGACTCCAGGTAAGCTTTGGAAGGGTTTCGTTGAGCAAATGGTGGTTGTTGGTTCTGATTTCGGTCATTGAGTGAAAGTCTCATGACCTTGAATTATGTCATCTTTCCTCATTATTCCAGTCAACCCAGCTGTAAATGGGTACAGATAATCCAGGAAAGATCAATTCCAAGAGGTTTGGTCAAGGACCAGCTGGTAGAAAGGATCCTCATTATTCCAGTCGACCCAGCTGTAAATGGGTACAGATAATCCAGGAAAGATCAATACCAAGAGGTTTGACCAAGGACCAGCTGGTAGAAAGGATCCTCATTATTCCAGTCGACCCAGCTGTAAATGGGTACAGATAATTAAGGAAAGATCAATGCCAAGAGGTTTGGTCAAGGACCAGCTGGTAGAGAGTGTCCATTTACCCCTAAATGTGATACAGCACTAGACCAATTCTATTACCTTCTTCACTTTGTTGGAAAATCCTTAAAAATATCCAAATTTTTCAGAGAAAATCGTGAAAAAGCTAAAGAAATGGAGGCAGCTAGAGAGAGGCAGTTAGCCCAGGAGATGGCAGCAGCGAAAGAGATGGAAAGCAATCGAGTCATGTATCGTGGTGGAGCTCAACCCATTCAACAAGCACAATCTCAAACTAAAGTTGGAGAATCTTTTGTCTAATGGTAAGTTCTCCTTCCTCTTCTCCTGATCAGTGAGTTCTCGTAAAATTAGACCCAACTTTCGTTTCGCTTTTTTTTATTAGTTTTACATTTTAGTGTAGCCACTTCAGAGTAGGGTCTAACGACTGCAGTCTTGAACATTCGTCAAAATAACCTTTTGACCTAAGCTGTTTCAACCAATCAAATTAAACAAGGTCAATTTGGAACAACCAATGAAAAGGCGTTTTTTCTATTTTCACTTTTAGTGGACTTGATAAACTAGTCTACTGCTTCTGAAAATACACCTTTTGATCGCATCACAAAACGCAAGCATAAAATTGATTGGTTAAAGGAGGTTAGGTCAAAAGGTTAATTTGATGAATGTTCAAGAGGGCTGTCGTTAGACCCTATTGTGAAGTGGCTACACTAAAAATAAAAACTAATAAAAATAATGAAATGAAAGTTGGGTCTAAACAGAGCTTATGCTTAATTAAGCAAAATGTTATTTTTTAGTAATTTCTGTTTTCTATTGCAGGTTTGTGGATAAAGTACCCAGAATGCAATGTGATGAATTTGAGCAGCAGATTTGAAAGTATTTCATCCATGTACAGAAATCGCGATACTTCATTTTTCAAATACTGTCCATTTTTTACCCGCCATAATTAAGAATAACCCTCATATTTTTTCATAATTTTTGTAAAAAAGTGCTTTGTTAATCATTTGTAAATATTCCAAAATCAGAAGTTGATATGTATCAGTTTCAATTAACTGTATCCCTTTTCAAACCTAGAATCTTGACATCTAGTTCGTCTGCAATATTCCTAAATTAGAATGAAAAATTAGGCTAGTGAAGATGTGAATCTGTACACAATATTTTAGCAAAGTTTAAATCAATATTTCTATCAAACTTTCACTTTTCAAAACTAGAATCTGACACCTAGTTCGTCTGCAATGTTGAAAGTGATGTTAGTCCACAATTCAATAATTCTGATATTGTTTCCTTTGCAAAATTCCCAATGCCGCTGTCCTGGCAAAATTTCCCTCATTGCACACTGCATGGCGTTGCCCGTCTTCATTAGCCTACTTGGTGCAGAAAATAGGACGTAAAACTCCATACTTTTATTTTTTTATTTACAAAATTTCCTCCATTGCACACTGTCCTTAGCGTAGAAAATTTGGGGTGTAAAGCTCCCTTTAATTCAGTTGACTAAATTGCCATTTTTTTTACGAAAATCTCAGAATTGTATAAAGTTGTATATTTTTAAGAATAGTTATGTATATTTTATCATTTATAATAAATAAACTTTTTATAACTGTATATTTTATTTGTTCATCAAAAATAACCTTGACCTTTATCAGGTATTGGTCTGTGCCTTTTTGAGGTTCTGTAGTCCAGTCGGTTAGAGCGTTGGTTCTTTATATGATGTCATTTGCTTGGTTAAGTCAAACAATGGTAGTCTTGTATTCTAATCTTTGTCGGCATTTAAAAGTCAGATGAAATTTATTAGTCTTTCAATCGACCCAGCTGTAAATGGGTACAGATAATCTGGGAAAGATCAATACCAAGAGGTTTGGTCAAGGACCAGCTGGTAGAAAAGATCCTCATTATTCCAGTCAACCCAGCTGTAAATGGGTACAGATAATCTGGGAAAGATCAATACCACGAGGTTTGATCAAGAACCAGCTGGTAGAAAGGATCCCCATCAAGGAGATCCACAAAGAAAAACTTAGTTATCAAAATAAAAATTTAATTTTCATAAAAAATCAGTTTACAATTACACTAATAGAATTAAAATGATATGAACTTTGAACTTTACGTTAAGTTCTGGACGCAAATTACTTAAAATAACTTGAAATATATTGAAAAATACAAATATGTTATCTACGAAAGCTAAGTAGGGTTGTGTTTCGATGTTCACGATAAATGCTACTTGGGGACCAAAGCAAAAAGCATTTTCACATTGGGACAACAGCCATAAAAAGAACCCGCCATCGAAATTTGAGTCTTCAAATCCATGTGTGTATAGAATTATCCATGTTTGAAAGTTAAAATGATGACTCGTCTTTTCTTGAGACACTGTGATATATAGAAAAGATATCTATAGAAATACAGAGTAAAATTCCTAGTTTGAGATATTTTTGAAGGAATTATGCAATTTTCGTACATTTCTAGTACTTCTGAAGACTAATTTACAGATATTCAAGACTTAAATCAACACCTCAAAATGGCGCACCTGTCCCTTTAAGATCACTGCCATTTTACCCATCTACCAGCATTTGTTTTTAAAAAAAAAAAAAAAAAATATCACATAAGGCACATTATTTTGTTCGCTAGCAACAGCACATTCTTTAAGGCTCTCTTTCTGTCTGACTTAATCAGAAATGGATTCTAGTTCTGGTTCCACATGAAGTCTGCTTTCTCTGGCAGCCATTCCATGACCGTTCATTTTGGACGGAGTTCCACACGGAAAGGATTTCATTTTCATATGTGGATTTTTCTTTTTGGAGGGATTTTTACTTGAGAAAAGATTGGGATTTGTAATTTCCTTACGCATTTCTGCTAAAGTATCATTTAAATCTTGCAAATGGCGGCTAAATTTCGACCCTTTTTGGTTGTCAGGTAAAAATTTGCTGGCAGTAAACATATTGTATCTTGGCGTAGGAACTTGATGATGAGGCAAACGCACTTTGCTTTCCGCACACATTTCCATATCTTCAATATCAGAGTGCTTGACCGGCACCTCCGCGGCCAAGGACAATGCCTCAATACTACGTCGTTCGATAGAAAATTGTACACTGTTGGCCGACATGCGGCTTCGTACTGATGTGTCACTTCCTCGTCGGTAAAAAGTAGAATGCCGTCTTTGTTTTCCGAACCTGCGCATTTCTGTCTCGTTTTGAGTTTGGCTGCTTTCGTCTGGTTGAATTCGATTCATTTTTGCACGTTGACGACGTCTGCGACGTTTTTCCCGCTGTTTTTTCTTCTTTTCCTCGCCCTTTTTCTCGTTGACCATGACCAGAAGTTCAGCCAATGATGGGCCTTGACTTAGTTGTGAATCCGCAGAAAATCTTCTCGAGCCTATCGATGGAACATCTGAAAGAAAATTTGAAATATGGAGCGAGTTAGAGAAAAAAGTTGGCCTTGTAGAGGAAGTCAACGCCTGATGATACTCTGCAACTTGGCTCGTCAACTAAATTGAATTTCAGAGAGTCCACATAGCAAATAGCGTCATTCTTAAACCCATTTGCCTTAAACTTGACAATTCGGCGGCTGCTGTCATGGCAAATTTTCCCTCATTGCATACTGTAATGGTGTCAACTGTCAAGTTAGCACACAAAACTCCATTCCATCTTTTTCATGGGTTGTTTGAAAATGCAGCAGAAGACTTAAAGCGACTAAGACAAGCTGCTAATGTGAATAACTGAACGGCGATATCATATGATGTTTCTGACATTGAACCCCTGTCCAGTACTCTACCTGAATCTGAATATCTGCGGCCAGGACCAGCTACAGGATGTATCAGACCACCACGACGGCGAATCAGTTTGGGCATGGCTTGTTGAAAATTTGTCGACATGTCACGACTCATTGCACTACTAAAATCGAACTTCATTCCTAGAGAGCAAGAGAGAAAAAAATTCAATTAGAAATTTAACGCAGGACTATCCAGTTTTCTTTGAACTTTTGGAGGCACTGACCATGGCAGATTTTCTACTGCCCTAGCAGACGACAATCCAACTCGCTACTGACTGAGCTATTCCACTGTCCTAGCAGACGACAATCCAACTCGCTACTGACTGAGCTATTCCACTGTCCTAGCAGACAACAATCCAACTTGCTACCAACTGAGCTATTCCACTGTCCTAGCAGAGGTCAATCTAACTCTCTATCGACTGAGCTATTCCACTGTCCTAGCAGAGGTCAATCTAACTCGCTACTGACTGAGCTATTCCACTGTCCTAGCAGACGGCAATCCAAATCGCTACCGACTGAGCTATTCCACTGTCCTAGCAGACGACAATCCAACTCGCAACAGTCCCAGAAATAACAATAAATTCTGATTCAGAACTCCCTGTGATTGGACAATAATGTAAAATATGATTGATGAAGGCTGCTTACCTAAAGGATCATCATGTGTACTATGAAAACTGATTGACATTCGACTATTGTTGATATTTTTACGTTTTTCAAAAGCCTGGGCTATCATTTTATGTTTCTTTAACTTGACTGGCTTATTGGACGGTTTGTGAAACACCCTAGAGTATAAAATGAAATAAATTCACTTGTGATGAAATGAAATTGTAACGAAATAAATTCACTTGTGATGAAATGAATTTGTAATGAAATAAATTCACTTGTAATGAAATAAAATGAAATAAATTTACTTGAAATGTTAAAACAAAATAAATCCACTTGTATTGAAATGTATCAATCACTTGTAATGAAATGAAATAAATTCACTTGTAATGAAATAATAAATTCACTTGTAATGAAATAAATTCACTTGTAATGAAATAATAAATTCACTTGTAATGAAATGAAATAAATTTACTTGTTACTTGTAATGAAATAAAATAGAATGAATTTGTAATAAAATAAATTCACTAGTAATGAAATAAATTCACTAGTAATGAAATAAATTCACTAGTAATGAAATTCACTTGTAATGAAATAAATTCACTGGCAATGAAATGAAATACTTCACTATGTAAAGAAATAAATTTGCTTGTAATGAAATGAAATAAATTCATTTGTAAAGAAATAAATTTGCTTGTAATGAAATGAATTTGTAATGAAATAAATTCACTTGCAATGAAATGAAATAAATTCACTTGTAATGAAATGAAATAAATTGAAATGATTTCATAGGTCCGTACATTCTGCTCATTAATATCGCCTCACAATGTCATGCAGTGTTCAATGAGGAAAAAACATGGCTACTCTATGATTGCTTCTCAGATCTATTTTCTTTTGGAGAATCCACATATCCTTTAAGTTAATTCTTGTTACTTACATTCTAAGGAATCGTTCCCAGGAATTTAACGTTGCTTTATTCCAAGACCAAGAACTCATGACAATTCCGGCACCAAAGAAGGCAAAGATATGTATCTCCATGGCAACGATACTGGGCTGATTTTCAATATGGCAGACATCAGAGGTGGAATTGGTTTGAGTAATAGTTACATTGGCTTTACATCTACAAACAAAATGATTTTCAGAAATTTTGAAACGTTAATCAAAATCTCGTTCAAAGTATGGCAAACGGGCAACGCAATGCAGAGTGCAATGAGGGAAATTTTGCCAGGACAGCGATATTAGACTGCTCTTTATCAATTTCCAACTGTCGAGGGATCTTTAACCTGCACAGCCTGTAGCACACGAGGCCTCGGTTTATTGTTCCATCTGAACGACTAGACACTTATCGAGAAATTGTAGTGGACTCCTCTAAAGAGAAGTGCCATCAGGTGTTTCGAAAAGAGTAAGCAAGGTCTGCTTCGCAAACCAAAGAAATCAACCAGGGATTCTGTTGTATAGTTATGACACCTGGTAAGTCCAACTGATGAATATATACTCTTATTGACCAAGTTTGAGACTTGAAATTTTATCTAAGAGGTAGTGTTCCTTTAAAAACAATCCGTCAAATTTGATAAAGTGATAAAAGAGAGGATGCTGGGTAAAATTGCGAGAGAAGACTTACTTGTAATATTGACTAAAGCTTTCTCTCCATAAATGTTCGTTAGCGAAGGTATAAATATGGACGGAGAGGGTGACCAGGACAAACAAAAGAGATAGACAGGAGAACGTACCTGAAAAACACAACTTACATTAGTCAGGGACAAAACCGATCTCCTTGACAGAAAACTGGTACCCTGGTGAGTTCGCTTATCGCTACACAAACAACTGGTACAGCCTGAGTCTCACGGTCAAATTACGTCGTTGACAACCCGAATGACATTAATGCAAGGTATGACATGAATTTCGACCAATCAACGCCAAGATGACAATAGCCCAAACCCGTTCCTTAACCCGTTCCTTCGGTGCAAAGCTTTAGCTTTAGGGGCCCACTTTAATTTGACAGTAGATTGACAATTTCCTTTCTTTTTTTTCAGTTGCTTTTCTTCTCCATTGTAATCTAACAAGTTTTCAACAACAATCTTGTTCTAATGACATTATTTTTAACCAATCAAAAAGTGTCTTGTAGAACAGGACTGTGGTAGAAAACTTGCTAGATTAAAATGGAGACAAATGATCAATGCCAAGCGGTTTGACTAAGGATCAGCTGGTAGAAGGACTGCTCTGGAACTTCAAATTGGTAGGTCACTCACCGAGTCTGTAGATAGTTTCTCTAAGTTTGGAGGTAGCTTTAGCATTCAGAAATATTGGTGCTGCTTTGCGAATCTTGATCAATGTTACCAGTCCTGAAAGAAGGAAGATTTATTGAAGATGTGTTTGGAAAGGATTCCCCCTTAGTGATGAATTTTGCAGGGGGTGAAAAAGCGTCTGCTTGCTTGCTTGCTATATGGATTCATTCCCAGCATAGGTTGAGATAATACCTTTGGATTTTCCCCCTGTCAGTGATGTAGGTAAGAGGGTCTGACATGGAAACAGCATCTAGTCAGATGGGACAATAAACCGAGGCCCTGTATGCTACAGGCTGTGCACGTTAAAGATCCCTCAACAGTTGGAAATCGATAATGAGCTGGCTAATGCCGCTGTCCTGGCAAAATTTCCCTTATTGCACACAACACAAAACACTTACCACTGATAAGAAAGAATAAACCAGTAACTAACACTAACGCTATAGGTGTTAACACAAACCCAGCACGAACGCCATGTTTCATGTAACCCACAAAACATATCCCACTTAGAGAATCACCATCTATCTACAAAAAAAACAAAATTTCACGATGGACATTTTCAGCCAATTTTTCAATACAGAAAACACATAGTGTATATTTGTGAATACAATGCGCACCATTTTAACATTCAATCGCGGATAATTCTAGACACACATGGATTTGAAGACCCAAATTTCGACAGTGAGCTATGAACACTATTACTGATTGGCTTAGTTAAAAAATTCCTGTTTCTGAGACTAAAGTATGATTGGTCACAAAAAAAAGGCGCACTGTCCCTTTAAGTCCCTTTATGAGTTGAAACTGTCTTGATACCTAAAGATATCTCTTACCTCCGTCATTGCCAAACAGATGATGGACAAAACCAAGGGCAGTAACCAGCTGATCAGGTGAAAATAGGCTGTTTTACTGGACAAAGAGTCTTTGGGTGTTCCCAGGGCTTTGAAGGTGAGATGCCACGAGTAAGCTAACATCACAAACCACATGACCCCTGCCATCATGGTGTAGTAGACCATTAAAAATATAATAGTACAGGAGGCTGTTTCACCTGATCTGAAATCATTAGAACATCCATGAAACAAAAAGATAAAACCACATTTAATGAAATACAGTCCAGGGCCTAGGTGCAATATAGGTGTTAAGGTTTGATCTGGTCAGGGTGATGCTTTCGGAATTTTAAACCCGGTTTCCCTTGTCAGTGATGCAGGTAAAAGGTGCTCAGATGGAAAAGCGTCTAGTCGTTCGGATGGGACAATAAACCGAGGCCCTGTGTACTACCAGGCAGGCTGTTGGAAATCAACTGCTTGTGCCACTTTCTTGGCCAAAGTTTACCTCTTTACACACTGCAAGGTGTTGCCCAAATTGATTCAGTGGGATACAAGACTCAATTCCATGTCATATTCCTGCAAATTTCACTTTTTATTTCAAAATTCCCATAATATAAGATGAATTCCTGCAAGAGTACAAGACTTCCAGACTCCCAATTTGAGATTCACCCCACAGACAATATCAGTTCTGGCATCTCCTACAAACTGTGCCAGCCATCCAAAGGAACGACAAAGAAACAAGCAAATTCCTGCAAGACTCTCAGACTTACCCAATTTGAGGTTCACCCTGCCTGGCAGTGCCATCAGATCTACAGACAATATCCGTTCTGGCATCTCCTGCAAACTGTGCCAGCCATCCAATGGAACCAATGAAGAAACAGGCATTGATATAGAATAGAATCAGCGCTGGATAGCGACTGGCATTCTTCCAGTCTATCAGGAATGTTAGCTGAAAACACACAAAAACAGGAATTTCTGGAACTGTCCTTTGGGAGTAGTTTTCATTTGACATGCTAAAATGGAAATGCCTTTTGTGCCACTTTCAGTAACTTTATGCAAACATGGAAATGCCTTTTTTTAACAATTCTTTGTGCAAAGCAGCAAACAGTTAAAAATAATTCGATGCCAACATAGAAATGCCTTTTTCCACTTTCAAGCTCAAAGCAACAAACAATGTAAAACAAGTATATGCCAACATGGAAATGCCTTTTTAACAACACTGTTCAAACAATGTAAAATAAGTCGATGCCAACATGGAAATGCCTTTTGTACTACATTATGTGCAAAGAAGCAATTTGCTACTGAACACAACCTGAACGAACTATGTGAACTGAGCTTCTTAACTTACCACAGTGAACAGAGTACACACCAGACATATAGAACCAAACACGCCAATAAATATATGAACTTCATCATGTTCTTCTTTAGTGAACAGTAAATTTTGGCAGGGAATTCCTTTAAAAAAAACAGAATCAGAATTCAAAGGTCATCTACATGTTCAGCCCCTCCACCCCCCACCTCCCTAAGACCCTAGGCTAGGTATAGATGCAGATGTATGGGATATATTTTGATTGGTACCTACCACAACCAGGGACGTCTGTAAACCAGCTATCTTTGTTTTCTGTTAAAATTAATGGATGTTCACATTTAGCTGATGTATTGAACGCCAACTTTTCATAGGTGTCTATCTGAAAAATAAACACATTTATTTATTTATTTATTTATTTATTTATTTATTTATTTATTTATTTATTTATTTATTTATTTATTTATTTATTTATTTTTTATTTATTTATTTATTTATTTATTTATTTATTTTATTTTTTTATTTTTTTTTTTATTTAATTATTTATTCATTTATTTAATTTATTTATTTATTTATTTATTTATTTATTCATTCCTTTATTTTTATTTATTCATTTATTTATTCATTTATTTATTTTTTTATTTATTCATTTATTTTTTTATTTTTTATTTTTTATTTATTTATTTATTTATTTATTTATTTATTTATTCATTTATTTTCTATGTATTTATTTATTCATTCATTCATTCATTCATTCATTTTGCTTTTGGGTTTGTCAACTCAGTAACCCATTCAGAGAGTCCACATGGATAATTGCAATTACTTGATATATCTTTTTATCTAAGGCTTACTTCATGTCCATATGAGAAATTTATCAACCGGTCACGTGATACTTGAAGTCAGACAGGACCGTGACAAAGATCTATGACTGTGTTAATTTGATATGTTAAGAATCCATTGATAGGTACTTCACAGTACTTGTTAGTACAAACTAATATTGACCTATCATATCATTGTAACTACTAAATATACACACTTCTTTAGTCTTGCTGATAGGAATGAATGATTGGGAAAATTGGATGAATAAAATGAATGATGGAATGAATGAATGAATGAGTGGTTAAATTATAGGATAAATGAATAAATAATTAGATAAATGAACTGAATGAATTGATTAGATGAAAGAATGAAAGAATGAATGAATGAATGAATGAAGGCTGAAGTTAATGAAAGAATGAATAAATGAAGGCTGAAGTTAATGAAAGAATGAATGAATGAAATCTGAAGTTAATGAATAAATGAATGAATGAAGGCTGAAGTTAATGAATGAATGAATGAATAAAGGAAGGAATGAATGAATGAATGCTGAAGTTAATGAATGAATGAATAAATGAATGAATGAATGAACTAATGAATGAATATTGAACATTTAAAAGCATATTTTTGTCATCTCCAAACATACCTTACCACTTTCACAGCCTTGGAGACACAAACTTCCTAAAAGAGTATCCTAGATATAGAACACAAAAAAAAACCTGCCTACCTTGCAGCCAGACACAAACTGAGGTTGATCACATCTTAAAAACTCGGGCCACGATCCATCGTGGAAAGACTTGACGATTTGACACGGCTCCCTAGTTCGTTCACACAGTTCACGACTTGGTAGCTCTGTCTTTCCAGTCTCATTATCACATTTTGGTAAATAGACGGAACACAAAAAGGGCTGGATAACCTGCCAACATTGTGGCGCATTCTGTAATCCGCTCCACAAGCGTAATTTTTCGTAAACCTCATCTAGCGAGCTCGAATCGGCAGCGAAAGTCAGTGACGTAAACTTTATGGGCAGCGTGGCTCCCAAACACATGTTCGTTGTTAACGGAATGCACGTTTCATTCTGGTTATAGCATTTGTCATTCTCTTCTGCTAGGGAAAGTTGAATTTTGGCCATGATGGACATCCATAGAACGAGTAATTTCCACCAAGACGTCATATTTGTTTGATTTTTTTTAAAAACCATTTAAATCATATGCTTAACTTTTTACAGTTGTGTCCTTCCATATACATTGAACATTTTATTCAAATTTTGTGCTAAGACTTTGTCATCATTTGTCTTCCATATGCATTGTTAATTTTTTCTCATAATTGTTCTAAATTTACATGCTTGATTTTTGGCTCAAATTGTCTTCCATATTTAATGCTCAAAATATACTTTCTTTCAGGAAAAGAAGCAATATTTGAAAAAAATTATTGCTAAAACTGGTGTAAGTGAGTATGTTTCAATTTTTATGCCTATTTCATTTACCATACACTTTCAAAAAATAATTGCACCTCTGCGCTTCCATATAATCGGCTTCATCACTCCACAAGCATCACTGTAAAAACAATGAAAATCCATGCACCGTTATATAATGTCAATCTCTCTGTATTAGATCTACATTAACTGTGTATATACTGGTCAACATCATTCATATTTTACACTTAAGCCAGTCAATATCACTCGTATACCACAGTCGGTTTCCTTTGATGTTTACCGTTATCGTGAATTATTGTTATAACTTTGAATATTCTTTGAAGTTGTCTGTATTTTTATCAGATATGCAAGAAATTTACTTTTTAGATCCGTCCATAGCAATTGTTCGGAAAGAAATCGCAAATGTCGGCTAAAATGCACAAAATTAAAAATTTTGTCCAAATTTTATTTCACTACCGCCATATTGCTTTCTCCTAAAATTCACATCTCAAATTACAAAAAGTTTACAAGAAATTTAGGTCGTCTCCATCCTTCCCCTCGTAGACAAGTTTATCAAGTTTCCCCATACACTTTACTCTTAGATAATGAGACTTGTAAATCGAGAAAAAGAACATATCAAGCCTCAGCCACACTAAGAAATGTTACCCAGACTGTTTCTCTATTGTCTAAATTACTTAAAGGTGTAAAAGATTGAAGTCTTTGTTAACCGGGCGTAAAATAGATGGGAACATTTTGGTATTGAGAAAGGGACTGGATTATTAAATCAAATGGGTATTTATTGAGTGGTTATTGCCGTTTCAATGAATTGAAGTTTTACACCCCACTTTATTGCCGAGTTCAATCGAGATTGAAAAAAAAATTTAAATCACTCAATATGCTTATCCAGAGAAGGATAAGATGGGGATGCTAGCCACGAGGAAGAAAATATTGGTGACAGGGGGGGAGAAGAGAGATAGGGGAAAGAGGAGAGAGGTCGGGGCTAAAGGAAGAGATAGGGGAAGCAGGAAGAGAGGTCGGGGCTAAAGGAAGAGATAGGGGAAGGAGGAAGAGAGGTCGGGGCTAAAGGAAGAGAGATTGGGGTTAAAGGAAGAAGAGAGAGAGGTTGGGGAAGGAGGAAGAGAGATCGGGGCTAAAGGAAGAGATAGGGGAAGGAGAAAGAGAGATCGGGGCTAAAGGAAGATGAGATAGGGGAAGGAGAAAGAGAGATCGGGGCTAAAGAAGAGATAGGGGAAGGAGGAGGAGAGATCGGGGCTAAAGGAAGAGAGATTGGGGTTAAAGGAAGAAGAAAGGAAGAGCTAGGAGAAGTAAAATAGGGAAAGTCAGAAGAGAGGTAGGGAAAAATGAAGGGAAAAAGACAGAGGGAAGGGAGGTAGAGATAGACGATGAGGGAAAGCAAAGGGGAACAGTGTAAAGAATTTCTCATCAAATTGAGAAAGGTCTTATACTAGACAGAGGGTAAAAAGGGGGGGGGGGGGGGGGTTTCACTTTCTTTTTTTCACAGATATTTTTTTTTATACATGACAGAGTCTTAAGAAAAGACGAGTCGTCATTTTCACTTTCAAACGCGGATAATTCTGGACACACATGGATTTGAAGGCTCAAATTTCGACGGTGAGCTGTGAACACTATTACTGATTAGCTTAGCTAAAAAATTCCTGATTCTAAGACTAAGGTATGATTGGTCAAACGGATGGCGAAATTACGTTCAAATCTCCCTGGAAAAAAATTTAGTCTCACGAGCAATTGCGTGGTATACCACCCAAAATTCTAGTGAATGACCGAAACGTTGAAAATGGGTCGGTCATCCTGTTATTGTTCCCTCATCCTATTTTCATTGAAAAATTCAATCAACAGCAAGCTTGACCTCTGATTGTTAAAGGTCACCATTGCCGAATTCAAATAAATAGTTATATTGTTTTTGAAAGGTGGTCGATGACAACTTGTTTATTTGTGTTATGCGAAATTTAAAAAAAATTAGGTATTCATTCATGGAAGTATACCAACATGATATACACCAACATTGCTGAAAGTTCATATAGCTAAGGCAGATTTTTTTAATGGCGGTCGATGACAACTTGTTTCCGTTATGCGAAATTTAAAAAAAATTAGGTATTCATTCAGGGAAGTATACCAACACGATATACACCAACATTGCTGCCAGTTCATATAGCTAAGGCAGTTTTTTTGGAAATTGTGTTCGTAGCCTTTTAGAGCGTCAACATAGCTTAAACATTATTTTGATCTTTGAGTTAGTCTGCAATCCTTTCAGAGAGTCCACACAGTTAATTTATTTTTTGATTCTGTCAACTTAATGTGATTGGACGTGGCCGTAAGATTACGCAATCTGATTGGCCACTATGATTTTTTGGTTTAAGGATCGCTGCATTGTGATTGGATGAAGCCATATAATCGTGCAATTTGATTGGTTACTACAGAACAAAATCTTTCCCGCCATGAAGGATCTTCGTAAAATTTTAAACCAAATTTTCCGGCTCGGGTTTTGCTTTTTCGGGCCGATGTACGGCTTACGCATTTTAATCAAATAATGCGCAAATATATTTTTTTCTAATTTTTATGTGGGATAGCCTCTTACAACATGCGTTCGCGTGTGTTCCACGACGGTGTGGAATGTTCTGAATTCAACGAATTTGATTGGTTTTTGGTTGCGAACTGTGCCCTATAAAAGAACGTTTCGAAGAGTAAAAACCGCAGTTCCCAATTTGGTTGTTGAAAAAGACGCCATAGTGGTACCGGATATTTTGTAGTAGTTTTTCAAAACGCTAAGGTAAGGACGATTTTTATTTTAATTTTTTGTAGATCCCCTTCTTAGATTGACATGTGTTTCGGATATACAATTCTCATCAGGACAGTTCGTTTTGGTAGATTACATTAAGGTTTTGGGCAAAGGAAAGAGTCTTTTGGAACAGAAGCAAGAATGGTTTTGAATTTTAAATTTTGTAACTCCCCTATACTTCGATTGACTAGAGCTCATATCATGCTGCCGATATGTGTTTCAGATACACAATTCTCGTCAGGACAGTTCGTTTTGTTGATATGGGTTAGCTTTCTAACATTGAACAGCTTTTGGGCAAAGGAATGAATCTTTTGGAACAGAAGCAAGAAGGGTTACAAAGAAATGGCTTTATCTTCTTTGTAGCCTATCGCAAATACTGAGCACATACCGACGTGATACACAACTATTATTTCCACCTTGCTTGCAGATTGCGCCTGATGGTACAAGACTGTCCGTGGATCTGGGACTCGTCATGGTTTGAGTTATCAGGCCTATTTTGCAGTCAAAGGGACATAACTCGAAATAAGTTCGACGTTTCAAATACAGACTACAAATAAATTCTTTTTACAAATTAAACTGATTTTCAAATTGCTTTCAACATATCTTTCAACGATTTTGATACAAGTTCATGTATTTCATATTGACAAGTGGTTAGGATACGTGCTTCGGATACACAACCCTCATCAGGACTGATAGTATCATAAATTTGAAATATAAAGGTTGTAAATCGGCACAATATGCGAGTTTAATTTTTGATGTTATTTTGTGTTCCAGATGATGGCAGCCAAGTTCCTGGTACTTATCCTGATAGTCTGTAGCATTGGTACCTTCATGGTGGATGCCAACTGTACTCCTGGAGTAGAAATCTGCAATACCTGTACCAACAACGAGCAGTGCCTCTTCCAACACGATTTCCAGGGATGCTCCTTCTCTTGCGTCAATCCGACCGCCTGACGAACGAGATTCGTCCGGGTACGAGTTATTCCGGACGACTTTGAACCTGAGGACGAACACGTACACACCAACAATTCGAACGCATTTAGATAATTTTTGGAACAATTCTAAGTTACTGATTGCTTGTCTCTTCTGCGATCACGGAAACGCATCCCACAGAACTTGTGTACTACATTGGTGACTTTCTGGCTGGCTCTATCACTGGTAAAGCGAAAAATTAGATAGCCGGCCCCTATCATCCAGTCTCATTGTATAAATCTAAGGGAGAAGTCTGGGTGTTAGAGACTATTATTTAGAGGGATATATCCCTTGAATTTATTTGTATGCGGAATGGAAATTTGAAAAAGTGTGCATCTGTCGTTTTAAAGATATGATTGGACAAAATTTAATGTTTGCGAAATTATAGTGCGAAGACCGCACTCTAAACTATTTTGGCTTAATTGTTATTGATTTTCTGCGCTCTAAGCGCACTCTAAATTGTGAAGCGCACACCTTAAACTAGCCTTCACAAAATGATCTTAAATTGTATACCGCACACTATAAACGGCCTTGGTGTCGTATATGGAAGGGTGTTTACGACTTTACTACATCATAGCGTTGGATACAGTCCTCTACAAGCTTCCGTATACGTCAAACCAAATTTTGAACTGCGCCGTAGGCTCTTTGGGCCGTTTTATGAAACTTTTCAAAAAATTTCTCTATGTCCATGAAGCCGAATCGCAAAAACATAGAGCAAAAACAGCCAAAAGGTACAATGTTTCTCTTCCTATTGTTTAAAAATTTGGTGGATTTGGTGGGTTTTTCTATTTTTTTTCTATAACGATATTATATTTCTATATTCTTTTATATTGCATGCGACATTAGAAAATGTAAAAAAAAATGGTCGAGTATTACACGAATAAAAAAGTAAACTTTGGATTTTGTTTTATTGATGCTTTGCTTTATATAATCTGAGAAGAGATACGGGCATTGCAGTCATGTTGTTCATGCATGTGAAATGGAGCTTGGTTCTGATCGGAGCTGATTCGCCAACTTTTTCCATGTCCAAGTGTCCCAATCTTGCACCAACGACAACAGGGGCTGGGTAGAATTCCCCCCTCCCAAACACCCATCTTCCCCCCAAAAAGACCTTCATTCCCTTAGGGCTTGCAGGTTTCTAAGCAAGCATCCATTTACAGCTGGGTTGACTGGAATAATGAGGATTCTGTCTACCAGCTGGTCCTTGACCAAACCTCTTGGTATTGATCTTTCCTAGATTATCTGTACCCATTTACAGCTGGGTTGACTGGAATAATGAGGATTCTGTCTACCAGCTGGTCCTTGACCAAACCTCTTGGCATTGATCTTGCCCAGATTATCTGCATCCATTTACAGCTGGGTTGACTGGAATAATGAGGATCCTTTCTACCAGCTGGTCCTTGGAAATATCTCTATATATCTAATGCCTGGGGTGGGGTTTGGGTGAGGAAAGATGACTTATTCAGTACCCATTTACAGCTGGGTTGACTGGAATTATGAGGAAAGATGACTTATTCAAGGTCATCGATGTTTTATAAGTGTCGTGGTGGACGTATTATGCTCACTCTTTCCAATCACCTGAACCCAACGCATTTGTGAAAGCTCTGCGTCCCATTGGGTTTTTATAGATATTATCTGTTGTCGTAGTCATGGTGTTAAAAAATGAAGTTATCTCCCTTGGACCATGATTAGCATGAATTCTATGGGAAATAGCTGATGGGTATTGAAAGCCGTCAATCCAACATCGAACCAATTTCGAAAGCACTGTCCGTGGCATCATCGAGGGAAAGACCGAGTACACACATATTTCAATTCGGGAAAATTAGTTTACAAAAGGAGAAATTGGTTTCTGAATAAACGATGGGCCAAATGTGGTCCGAGTTTTAGGCTATTAACCAATTTACTTAGAGATAAGCGATGGTTGGTTTTGCTGTAGTAGCCGTTTTCAAATTTCGTGCGAGAAATCACTCAAAGAAAATTTTTCTAGGCTAATTTGCAATTTTCGCCATTTTCTGGTAAATATTAGGCCGACCGGTATATGATATTAAAGTTGGTGTTTTAGTCCATAATCTAATGGATGGGCGAAACAAATGACAATGTCAATGATCAACAAAGAAAATATTCATAAAAAAAAGTCACAAAATTTCGGGTTTAATATTATTTCAAGTGAAAAATGTCGGTCTTTTCATAATTTTTAACATCAAAACGTTTCTCGGTGTTTTGCGCAAAATTGTGTAATACTGGATAACCAAAGCTTCAGAAAATGGCGGATTCGGCAGACAGTGTTGTTGACTCGTCCCAGGTAAGACCCATTTTTGACGATTTATTACCTTTTTAGCCCCTAGATTATGTCTGAATTATTTTATTTAGTTTCCATTGATGAGGGAATTTTGTCAAAATTTGGAAATATTCTTCAAATCGTCCAAAACAGTGCGATCTAGAATCGAAGTGTGGAATAGTCACGATTACTTTGCCACTTTTGGCCTCTGCGCAATTTTGTTATGATTACGATTTTGTATTTGTTTACGTTTTCTTTACCCGAATTTGATAGCATTTTTGGGAAAAAACATGTGCAATTTGAATGAATTTTGTTTATGGATTTCTTTGCAAATAAATTAAGTACATATTTTTAAAAAAAAATTTAAGCTTTGTTTTTCTGGTGCAAAGGGAGGTAATTTCTGATCAAATTAATTTTCAGACCACAAATAACTTATAAAATTTTTAGTTTTTATAATATTTTTGATCTTTTTATTGTAGCGCAAAAATGAGGAAGGAAGAATTTCAGAAGCTGAAGAAAAAATAATGTCAAATGCAGGTAAGCCTATTGTCTTTTTTTCTGGAAGCAAGGCAGAAACCATGTTCATTGCTGGAACTCCCAGGACTAACAGGAGGTACGCCCAAGATCTCATGGTCAAATTATCGATTGCAGGAACCCCAAAGATGTTACTGTAGGGTATGACATGAATTTCGACCAATCCCTGATAATCTCTGATGATGGAATTTCTATTAATTTCTTTCAGACAAAGACGATGCCAAGGATTCTGAAGACAAGAAAGACAACTCTTCAAGACCTCAGACGCCAAACTCTTTGATACCTGACCAGGACCCTGCCACGTTTTCAACCCCGAATCTAAAAGGTAATGTTTTGTATTTTCAACCCTTTGAATACTGAGTTCTTAGTAACACACTTTGATGATTTCCAACTATCCAGGGTTCCGTCTGGGTGTCCTGTTGCATTCTTACATCCAGACTCTTTTCATTTTTTTGGCACCAGATTCCATTAAGCATTTTTTTGAATTTGCTATGGTATTCAAGATCCTGCGACTAGTGTAGTCTAGTGTAGGATAGTGCTGCTGTCCTGGCTAAGTTTTCCTTATTGTACACTGCATGGTGTACTGGAAATAAGGTTAGAGTAGGCTAGTACTGCTTATTTGCTGCTATCTTGGCTAAATTTCCCTCATTGCACACTGCATGGTGTCTCTGTCACCAGTAGCCCAACTCCATTCATTTCAAAAAGGAAAAGTAATGTCCAAAATCTTAGACAATTTTTTTTTTTTCAATTTTAGGTGTTCAGAATGAAGGGCAGACGACACCTAAAACACCGAACATCTCGACGCCACCTGGAACACCTTATTCCTGTACCACGGACAACACTTCTACCTCAGAAACCAACACCCCCACCACTAGTACTCCAAATACCAGCACCCCAAACACACCCAAAAACAAAATGCCCCACCGGTGGGGGATCAACTGGAAAAAAGGGGAGAAGCTTGAAGCTATGGACTATATGAACAAATGGTAAGCACTCTTCTGAAATTTTTTTGTGTATCAGGAACACTGATAGCATCAATTTACACCATTCCAATTTTCAATCAGACGTCTGTGGTTTCTGCAATTCCACTAAAACTAAGTGTTTGATGACATCACTAATCACGAAGGCCTTATGTGATACAAGCATATTTTGTGATTAGTGTTAGATGGTGATGAGAACATAGTCTCATGAAAGCACTGGCCTAGGTCACAAAGAAAAGATTTATGATAAAAAAAATCTTTACTTTGTTCGTTGGCACTGGCAAAATTAGTGATGTCATCAAACACTTAGTTTTAGTGGAATTGCAGGAACCACAGACATCTGATTAAAAATTGGAATGGTGTAAATTGATGCTAGCAGTGTCACAGATACACGTAAAAAAATTGAGAAAACTTCTTTACAATCTCTTTAAAGACTCTATTCATGAGTGATGGTCAAAAACGAGTCCATCCATATGCATAAGCACAATTTTGTTACCAATAACACCAGAACTGATTCTATTTTTAGGTATTTGGCTAAAATAAAAGACATAGACTACAAGGAACAGTCGGTACTGATCCATTTTGAAGGGTGGAACTCAAGATTTGATGAGTGGTTTACTGGTGACAGTGAACGTATGAGGCCACTGACACGATCTTCAGGCAGGCCACAGAAAAAGAAAGTTGATGGCGTGAGTATTTTTAAATCACTTCTTTGGACAACGACATCATGATATAACATAATATTAGATAACCAATTTTTTTTTTTGTCTGCATTGTAATCCGACAACTTTTCTGCTACAGTCTCATTATTTTTAACCAATCAAAGCCTTTCATGTAGAACCTATGACTAGATGACGAAAGGATGATAAGTAGATGTGTAACGGCTTCTCTTGCTTTCGCTATCCCATAATTCATGAGGGTTATCTAGAAAAGGTTCGACATGATACACTTTGATTGGTTAAAAATAACATCATTAGAAAACTTGTTAGATTACAATGGGGATGAAAAATTATCCTCAGGCTCACGAGTGGTCTTGGTCAGAGGTTTTTGTCACCGATTAGTGTTTGATAATTGTCTCCGATAGTTTTATCATCTGCAAGAGAGACCGTCATCATCCAATCAGATTCATTTTCCTTTCAATTGCATGATCCGTGGTTATCGACATAGTGGAAAATGACTGGTACATTGATTTGGATGGGACCTCTCTTTCATACCTTTGTTGTAATAAAGTATTTTTGTATATCATTTGTTTCCTCATTTGAACTTTGACCCCCCACCCCCCACAGAAAAAGGGCAATATCACTGAAGGGGTGAAATTTAGTGGATTTTTGGATGGGACATACACCAAGGCTGCTCGTACTACAGGGTGCACGTTAAATATCCGTCAACAGTTGGAAATTGAGAAAGAGTAGGCTAATGATACTATCCTGGCAAAATTTCCCTCATTGTACACTGCATGGTATCTGTCTTTATTAGCTCATTAGGTGTAGAAAAGTAGTATATAAAACTTTATTTTAATAACAGTCTAAATTAATATCATAATTGTGGTCTGAGCCAATATTTTCTGGGTTAGAGTTATGTCCCTTCCTTAAGTTTCACATCAAGTAGAAAGAAGCTGTCATTTCTACTCTACTTTTGGTTTGGGGTAGGTCTCTCTGTAGACATAACTCATTTCATGGTTGACATTTTGGAAAATCACATTTGAAAGTTGTCTTCTGGTATGGAAAGCTCAGATTTGTTTAAATTTTGGGAAGAATTGGCTTTGACAAGCTTTTTTGTGCAAGCAAATTTAATGGGTGTCCTCAGGCTTAGAATTAGTTTTTGTTTTTGGTTTATCAAAATGAAAAGTTAGTCATTTTGTTAGTGGATTTATGCCTAATTTTTACATTTCCTAAGTGTTCGAACAATTTTTCCCTTGTTCTTTGCAATTGTTGATGGCGGAATAGCCAAGAAGCTTGTTCACTTTGTTTTGTAGATGTAGTAAAAGTATTTCCATTTTCAAATCTTAAGTTCTCCTTATGTACACCAAATGGGAAGTTTTGTGTTTTTGTTGTTGAAAATAAGTCAGTAAAAATGACCTTAATTGAGAAGCTAGATTTTGTCTTTTTGAAGTCTAAGATGGCTAGGAGTTGTCGAAATTTAGGCCTAGGAAAACCTCAAGACTTCAATTGTAGTGTGTAGCACAAAACTTGGAAAGGATGGATTTTTCATCCGTCATTCTTGTGTATGGTTTGAATTAGAGGCTGAAAGCCCACCCTAGACCGTGTCTGCCATATTTGTCCTCTTGTCTGTGTTTTGATTTGGAATTCAATGGATTTAGGCTTCATCAAAGATAGTTTTAATGATTTTCAGTTCCAATGGGACAAATATGTTATGATTTGGACGCCATTTTGGTTTGACGCAAAATTAAAAAGGTCTTTTCTCTTAAGGGTAACACCTATAGACCTACTGATTTAAAAAGCTAAGTTCCTGAGCCTGTTTCTTTTTTATTTTGCATTGACTTTTGAATTTGCCATTTTCTGAGGCTTTTTTCAGTACCAAATACTTTTGCTAGTAAGATTGTTTAAGCAAATACTATTTTTGAGATGGAAATTTGAAATTTAATGAAATTTTGGATCCAAAGTTAATTCAATTCGGATGAAGTTTCTAAACTTGCTAATTCGCAAAATTGGTAATTTTGACTAGAAAAGAAAAATTCAATGAATTTTAGAAGAAAATGAATATTTTAGGGGAAAATTCCCCTGAAAGCACTTTTCATTTATGATGGTAATGCCAATTATAAATTTTGACAATTTTTTGTTATGATTTTGAGTGGATTTGTTAAAGGGAAGTAACTGCATTATAACAAAAAAAAATTGGCACAGACCACAACAAATGCATTATATTTTTGCGGTCAGATTCTAATAGTGAACCGTGACCTTTAATATGTTCTATTTTGGTGTATGGAATCAAGGACACTGCAATGGCCCTTAATTATGATTTGTGACGTCATGAAACACTTAGTTTTAGTGGAATTGCAGGAACCACAGACATCTGATTGAAAATTAGAATGGTGTAAATTGATGCTATCAGTGTCCCTGATACACATACAAAATTTAGAAAAAACCCTTTACAATCCCTTTTTGAAAAGTGATGTCATCAAACACTTAGTTTTAGTGGAATTGCAGGAACCACAGACGTCTGATTGAAAATGAGAATGGTGTAAATTGAAATTTAAGAAAACCTCTTAAATATGATATAAGATTTCCCCTTGAAAAAACAAAAAATGTTGACAAGCCAAAATGTAGAAGAGGCATCAAGCTGGCTGAAGTTCCTGTTTATTCTGTATATTTTCAGGAATACAATGTAGGAGAGAAGGTACTAGCAAAATGGTCGGATTCCAAGATGTATGCAGCTCGTATCGAGGCTGCTAATACAGACGGTATGCCATCTCTTACGTTCATTAAAAAAAAATTAGCCAATAGCTTACTGCATCAAAAAGACAAAAAAGCAATTACTAAATGTTACTAATTAATCAAGTCTATTTCACATTAATTCAAATTTTGTAGTCTGAGTTATCCAGAACCTAAATAGATTTCAAAGTTTAATTTGACTCTTTTAGAACTTCGAATCTTTGAGTCGACTCCTTTTCTATCTGGGTTAGCATCTTTAAAGAGATAGATTCTCCATCCGTTTGACTAATCGTACCTTAGTCTCAGAAATGAGAATTTTTTAACTAAGCCAATCAGTAATAGTGTTCACAGCTCACTGTTGAAATTTGAGTCTTCAAATCCATGTGTGTCTAGAATTATCAGCGTTTGAAAGTTAAAATGACGACTCGTCTTTTCTTGAGACACTGTGATATATAGAAAAGACATCTATAGAAATAGTGAGTAAAATTCATAGTTTGAGATATTTTTAAAGGAATTATGTGATTTTTGTACATTTCTAGTACTTCTGAAAACTATTTACATATATTCAAGACTCAAATCAACATGCGAAAATGGCGCACCTGTCCCTTTAAGTTAGATTATGTTAAAATGGTTTTTTTTGTTTTTCTAGGATCGTTCAGTGTAAAATTTGAAGACGGTTTTAAAAAAATTTGTCTATCCTCCCATATCAAACCTTTCCCAGACTCAAATCTCCCTAAAAAGGTATGTACAGTGGGTTTAGATAGAGATCCAGATATTTTGTTTCATGTTTATTCTGTGGGTGACTCTTCATGCCATTCATGATCTGAAAACATTGTCATGCAACTCATGTTCAAGGTCACTCAAATATTCAACCAATCATGTACTCTGGTTTATAATTTTTTTTTATCCTTGTCCTTTTAACATTACCTAAATGCACACTAAAGAATATTATAAAACTCATTAATTGATCTCATTGTGTTATATTTGGATGTTTCAGAGACCTGATTATAAAGAAATCAAACCTCCAGGACAAGTGGACACTCCAAAATCTTCAAAAAAGCCCACTACCCCAATTCTTAAAAGTAAGTTTTTATAAGTAACTTTTTTGACTCAATTTCCCTGATTGAACACTGTATAGAATTGCCTAAATTAGAAAAGTAGTATGTAAACTACCCTCATTTCAGCTCCTGATGCTCCAAGTTTAAGCTCCAAAAGGAAAGATAACTCCGCCAGTAAACCCAAGGGTAAGCTGATCGTGGCTGGTTCGTTTCTGGTAAAGAGAGAAAAGTCCATAGGGGAGACAACTCCAAAGATCAAAACAGAGAAACCAAAAGACACATCTGTAAGTTGAAATAATTTGCTTTAAAGGGATATCGGGAGCCGCGGTGGCTCAGTGAGTTAGACGCTTGCTCGCTAACCTGAAGGTCCAGGGTTCAATTCCGGCATAGGTCGAGATGATACCTTCAGATTTTTCAACCCGGTTTCCCCCTGTCAGTGATGCAGGTAAAAGAGGCTGACATGGAAAAAGCGTCTGGTCGTTAGGATGGGACAATAAACCTAGGCTCTGTGTGCTACAGGCTGTGCACATTTTGAAATCAAAAAGAGTTAGAATGGTAAAATTTCCACATTGCACACTTCCTGGCGTTGCCTCTCTTTTCATCTGGCGATTTTCATCGAACATAATGAAAATTTCAAAATTTCAGATCAAAATCAAGAAAGAAGTCGAAGAAACGCCAGTTAAAATCAAAAAGGAAGCTGACAAATCAGTCAAAATCAAACGAGAGAAAGATTCAGAAAAAGTCAAAAAAGAAAAATTTGAGAAAGTCAACATCAAAAAAGAAAAGAAAAGTTTGACAAAGCCTGCCGAAAAAAGACGTCATTCTTTGTCACCTAAAGTCAAGCTTTCACCCATTGAAAATAAACTAGCTGGTAAGTCTGAAATTGTCTTGCCTTCGGAATTTTCAACCCAGATTCCCCCTGTCAGGGACTGACATGGAAAAAGCGTCAGATGGGACAATAAACCAAGGCCTCCACATGCTACAGGCTGTGCATTTTAAAGATCACTCGACAGTTGGTAATCGAAAAAGAGCAGACTCATGCCGCTGTCCTGGCAAAATTTCCCTCATTGTACCCTGCATGGTGTTACCCGTCTTCATTAGCCCACATGGTATAGGAAAGTAGGACGTAAAGCTCCATTCATTTCATTTAATTTGTCTTTGGATTGATGAAAATGCCAACGACTAGTCCTAACTAAAAATAAACTTTACAATATTTCCCTCATTGTCCACTGCATAATCTTCCTCTCTGTATTAGCATCATCAGGTTATGAAAAGTTGGATGTAAAACTCGATTTGTTTCATTTCATTAGCATTGAAGAAATCACAGAAGAAAGCTTTTTCTACCACAACTGTGATTCTGTCACCAGAAGTTTGTGGAGTTTCGGCTGCTAAGAGAGCAAAGATATCAGAGAAACCAAATAGTAAGTGGGTATTGATAATCTGGGAAAGATCAATGCCAAGTCGTTTGGTCAGGAACCAGCAGATGGACAGAATCCTCATTATTTCAGTCAACCCAGCTGTAAATGGGTACAGATAATCTGGGAAAGATCAATACCAAGAGGTTTGGTCAAGAACCAGCTGGTAGAAAAGATCCTCATTATTCCAGTCAACCCAGCTGTAAATGGGTCCAGATAATCTGGGAAAGATCAATGCCAAGAGGTTTGGTCAAGGACCAGCTGGTTATTCCAATCAACCCAGCTGTAAATGGGTACAGATAATCCAGGAAAGATCAATACCAAGAGGTTTGGTCAAGGACCAGCTGGTAGAAAGGATCCTCATTATTCCAGTCAACCCAGCTGTAAATGGGTACAGATAATCTAGGAAAGATCAATGCCAAGAGTTTTGACCAAGGACCAGCTGGTAGAAAGGATCCATGTGAACCTAAGTTATTATCCTTGTAAAACATAGTTCGTTCTTAATTCCTTAAATTCAATTTTCAGCTGCACCAAAAGAGTTCGTGGTAGAAGCAGACCACAATCCATTCAAGTGTAACTCGCCAAATTGTGGTAAAAGTTTCCGTAAAGAAAGCTTATTGGACTCCCACATCAAGTTTTACCACAGCGAATCAAAACCCCACAGTATGTCTGTTCCCAGGAAGCGTCGAAAGACTTCCAGCATCTGTAAGTTAGGTTTTTAGTGATGTCGATTTCCCTTATTGCACACTGCATGCAGTTGCCTGTCTTTTTTTTTTTTTTTTTAGCCTTTTTGGGTTCTTATTTGTAGGACGTAAAATCCTTCTTCAATTCCCTCTTCAAAATATTTGTTGCTACTGTGGAATTAAAAAGCGTAGGCAAATTTGTGAGGTCTTGGCAAAGTTTACCTCAGTGCACACTGCATGGGTGTATGTCCATGTCATATGGTTTTATTTAGGCTATGCTTTGAAGAGTGTTGACTCAGCAAAAGTGGCGAGTCATTTGGATTGGACAATATAATGAGGCCTAGGGTATCACAGGCAGATCTTTTGACAAAATTTACCCAATTGCTCACTCATTGAAGTTATTGTTTCAGGCTCATCTGATTCCGACCATTCTGTCACATCTGCTGCCAAGGGCAAGTCACCGCTGGATCCCAAGAGGAAGCGTCATGTATCCATAGATATTGGTCTGGAGGTTACCACTCCACCAGCTCCAGAAATAGATCTGGTGGAAGATGATGGTGCCAAACCTCTTCCTACTACTGGTAGGTATATTTCTAACCAAGTCGTTTATGGTTTTGGTTTAGCTGAATGCTTACATGAAGGTGTAGTGTTTGGTTCTGGTATTAAGGGCTGACTCATGGAAGCACTGGCACAGGCATCAGAATTTTTCTTACCTTGAGTAGGATTTGATCCCATGGCACCTAATCGCCTAGCAGATGATAAACCAACTTTTTACTGACTAGCTTGCATTACATAAAATCTGGAAGAAAACTTTTTTATGAAGGTTTCTGGATTGACACTCTTTCGGACACTAAAATATGACCTTTTTGGATTACTTTCTACAGAATTGAACCTATCACCACCAGTAGTGTCAGTGTCCACCCCTCGCCGTAGTGGCAGTCTGAGCCAGGAACCAGTGAAGTGCGGAGATGCTGAAGAGACACCTGAGGATGCTGGTGATCGTGAAGCTGATGATGCTGATGAAGAGGAAGAAGAGAATGATGATGTGGCTCATTGTGCTTGTGGCTACCATTTTGAAGATGGATTGATGATCCAGGTACTGCATAGTGGCTTTTCTATAAATAGATGCATGAGGAACACAGATTTGTGATGAGAGGCTAACAGACAAATCTATCCTTATGTATTATGACAGGAATTGGAAAATAAGGGCCAAAGTTTTCGGATGCACTAGCAAGGCAAGCTAAGTCACCGAAGAGGATTGACTGGTCAATCAAATCAAAGAGAACATGTCAAATCAAAACAGTACCATTTAAATGTACCAATATAGCTGTATATGGCAGTGGCCCCCTGCTTGGCTCGGTCACCTTGAGCCTTCTAGAAATGCCACTGGTACCAACACCAGTGGTAAAAGTTGTGGTGTGTGGTAATTTGTTTTCTTGTCTTTCAGTGTGAGGTGTGTCTGTCGTGGCAACATGCTGTCTGTTTTAATATAACAGAGAACAGTTTACCCAAGAAATACATCTGTTATGTCTGCCTTAACCCCCCTGGTAAGCTATAGCCATTTTCCATCTGGTCCTCCACCAGCATTTTACAAATGATGCACTAGAAACTTCATTAGTCCAATCAGGAACATTTCCATTTCATTTCACAAGCTCCATCAGGAGCATGAATTGGAAGTAGAGCTCCATTTCATTTCATCAGCTGCCATTTCATTTCATCGACTGCCATCTTCATTTCATCAGTTCCATTTTCATTTTATCATTTCATTTGAAAAATATAATAAGAAACTAGGAAGTAAAACTCCATTTCATTTTGTGTCAGGTGTTCGAGACAGTAAGAAATATATCCATGAGCAGGATTGGTTAAAACAGGGGGCACTACCAGTCTTCAACTTCCTGCCAGGGAAAGTGAGCAGTGTCAGGACAGAGGAGATGCAACAGACGCAAGATCTAGCTGCAGAGATCCACAAACTTTCAGCAACCTTACATGCCCTGAAGACTCAGCTCAATGCTATTAGGTAAGGTGAAAATCCAGAAAAGTAGTCTTTGGATGTTGTTCTTACAATTTTGGGAAGCTGAGATGGCTAGGTGGGTAAAATAAGTCCTGGATTCGATCCCAGCATAGGTCAAGACCAAATCTTTGTGAGGTTTCTACTTTCCACCAGTGATGAAGATCAAATGGGCTGACATGGGAAAAGTGTCTGGTTGTTCTGATGAGGCTTTGAAATGATGATCTTGGGTGCTACAGGCTGTGCAAGATCTGGTGTTTCTGGCAAAATGGCATCACTTGTCTTAAAGTGCTCTAGTACTGAAGTAGGACCTCCTAGAAATTTGAAAAGATTCCCATTTCATTTGTGTCAGGTTTTCGAGACAGTAAGAACTATATCCATGAGCAGCAGGATTGGTTAAAACAGGGGGCACTACCAGTCTTCAACTTGCTGCCAGGGAAAGTGAGCCGTGTCAGGACAGAGGAGATGCAACAGACTCAATGATCACGATATCTTTTTCAGGCAAAAGAACCATCCAGCAGTCAAGTTATGGCAGGCCAACTGGGACGACTTACCATCAGACCATCAAGACACAGCTCAGATGGATGAGTACATCAGCATGGACACCTCCAGTCCCTCCACCTCGGCTGGTCCTAGTGGACAGCTGCTGAACTACCTCAATTATTCTGCCTTCTTGGCTCAAGTTGCTGAAGGCAAAGAAGTCACAGACCTCAATTGTGAGGATTCCAGCACGGATTCTGTCGTGTCCAATCGATCTGTCTTGCTGGATGAAGATGATTCCAATCCAAAACTTCCAGAAACTCCTGGATCTACTCCTCAGGCTGTTGAACCAGCTTTAGATGCAGAAACTGGTTTGTTAAAAGGTGGTTCACTGGAGGACCAGCCTGGACCCAGTACAAGTGGTGGTGATCCTCTGGCCAGAGCTAGGGTAAGATTTAGAACAATGAACCTCTTGCATTGATGCTTTATCCAACAGAACCTGAAACATGGTTTTACTCAGAGTAATACTCCATACATCAATTGTAGAGCGATATGAAAATATTAATACCGAACCTGAAACATGTTATTACTAAGAGTTTCACGTTGTGCCGAGACAACTGACCTATTTCAGCCTACTTTCCTATGAAATAAAGTATAAATATTGGCTTTGCTTTGTTGCAGGAAAAAATGGAAGCAGCTATTTTGGAAAAATGTGAGAAGAACATGTTACAGCACATAATACGAGTACAGTCAGAGATTAACTCGAGGTTAGACAGCATGGAGGATAAGCTGATAGGTAGGTTGTGTTCTATTCTTCTGTCTGGACAGGAACACTAGGGTTGCATGCGGTGGATTCTTCTGTTTGGTCAGGAACACTAGGGTGTGGGTGTGTTTGATTCTTCTGCATCGACAGGAGCACTAGGGAGTGGGTGTGTTCCATTCTTATATCTGGACAGGAACACATGGTGTTTGATTCTTCTGTCTGGACACAGCAAAGCAGTAAACTACTGTTATAAACTGTTTTGTAATTTTTCCTGCAGTATTGGAAGCTAAAGAAGGTCTATCTGGTAATGAAGATCTGCCACCAGCCGCTCCCAGGCTGAAACGTGCCATCAGGAACAACATCAGAGACGTTCAAAAACTTAAACTCATGTCCGAGTTGTGTGGCACCAAGCCTAGAAAACAACACTAAATCTCATTGGTCGGGAAGAAATTGCTTGACCAATCAAATTAATGACAGAGTGCAATTTTGTGAAATTTTGAAGACCATGTGGCCTTCTGTAAGAATCTGTTCTGTTTGATTTCATCACAGAGTGCTGTTCAGGACAGACCAATCAAACACACCAAATAGGATGTGTATCATCTTGTGTTTGTTTGTTTGTTTGTTTGTTTGTGTATATATAGAAATTGTTATTGTTGATAGTTTTTGAAAATAAATACATTGGCATTAGTTTTCACTAAATGCCCCTGTTTGAACATGAACATTATGCATGGTTTCTTAGTCTATAAATAGAACTATCGTCACTTCCGGTTCGCCAATCTTAGATATGACTTGTATAATTTGGCGGGAAAATACTCAGTCTATAAATAGAAAAGACAAGACTGCGTATAATTTGGCGGGAAATGTCTATAAATGGAACTATCGTCACTTCCGGTTCGCACAGTAAGTTGGACGCTTGCTTGCTAACCTAGAGATCCAGGGTCCAATTCCGGCATAGGTCGAGATAATACCTTCGGATTTTTCAATCTGGAGCTAACATGGAAAAGGCTTCTAGCAGTTCAGATGGGGCATTAAACATAGGCCCCAGGCTGTCGAAATAGAAAATTTCGCTTATGTCATTTCATTTAGATACCAGACCCATGTGACTATGGACCAAGTTGTCCCAAAATATTTCATTAAACACGTGATAATATTGTTGTCAATAACTGGTGACTATTTGATAACATTTAATTTGACCAATATTCATTCGTATACCGTACACTTCCTAATAAAACATCTCCGTTACACAGGTGTGTCGTACCGTATACTGCCTAATAAAACACCCGTCACACAAGTGTGTCATATCGTATATTTCCAATAAAACATCCGTTGCACAGGTATGTCGTATCGTATACTTCCTAATAAAAGATCCGTTGCACAGGTATGTCGTGTACCGTATAATTCCTTATAAAACATCTACGAAACAGGTATGTCGTACCGTATTCTCCTTAACAAACATCCGTTACACACGTATGTCGTATCATGTCGTACCGTGTTCTCCTTAATAAAATATCCGTTACACAAGTGTGTCGTATCATGTCGTACCGTATTCTCCTTAATAAAACATCCGTTACACAAGTATGTCGTACCGTATTCTCCTTAATAAAACACCCGTTACACAAGTGTGTCGTATCGTATGCTTCCTTATAAAACATCCGTTACACAGGTATGTCGTACCGTATTCTGCTTAATAATACATCCGTTACACAAGTATGTCGTACCGTATTCTCCCTTTACGCAAGGAAAGGGAATGTACAATGAGGTTATTTAAAGGGAATACGGTATACATGTATACAAGAGAATACTGTAAAATTTCATTTAATATGGTGCATTTATTACTAGAAATACGGTATTCATATATACAATTGCACAAGCGTGTCAATTTAATAATCCTATTGAACTATTGTTCGCCAGCAAAAAAGATACAATATAGCTATTGGTAAATACTGAACACAGTTTGGATTTGGTTTTTAAACATACAACGTGGAAAGGTAGGAACAATTCGAATTTGTATTCAACTCGTAAGAGGAGGGGGAAGACGAACTTCGTACATGGGGGCCGCTCGATTGATGAGTTCTGTACGTTCGAGATTCATGGATTAAACCGAAAGTTCAATACAACACGTTGAACGCGTTCCACATGTGTCAAAAAAATGCAGGTAGAGACAGAATTCATATTTCTTGTTTCAAACCGTTCAATTGAGGTCAGAAATGGAACGGACGGAACATGTTCAGAACACACCAACCGAGCACCACCGTGTATCGAAGGCATTAAGGCCAGTCAGTTATGCAAGGTGTTACCAATTTGAATGTTGCTTATGACAAATTTCAATCAAGTGGGATCAAATTTTAAGATTTTGGGACGCCATATACCAGGCCCGTCTCTATATTTGAGACCAAGGGTGTCACGATCTGCTAACTACTAATTAGATACGACTGTTTGGTATGATAACTACCCTGATCAGGTGAGAACTGCTCACTATCGGTTATGACTTCAATTTGGAGATTTACTCACCCGTAACACTATTCACTTTCTGTTTTAGGCTGAGACAACTATCGGCGTGCCAGAAGCATAGGATGTGGATGGGCATTTTTAATTGAGGTATCCTCCCGATGGTTCGCTTCCACCAATTCTGGGATCTTGCTTCTACTCAAGATGTCAAGTTCCATTGAGGATGCCCTTTCATGCCACATCTGTGCCGAGATCTTCAAAGATCCAGTTGAGTTTCCTTGTTCCCATTCTTTGTGCCATTCCTGTCTGGAATACTTATTAGAATCGTCAGTTGGAACTGTACTGCAGTGTCCAGAGTGTAAGGATGTCGTCCAGGAACGATCTATACGGAAAAACGAGCTTCTGGCTTCAATTGTGGACTTCTATTGGGAGATGACAGCCAGAGCTGATAGCGACGCTAAATTAATGACCGGTGGTCAGTCTGGGACTAGGATTAACCAACTGATACCTCAACAGAATCTTCGCGGTGCTAGTCAAGGTGATGCTCCAAAAGACTCTCAGTCCAATAGTCTTTCCTGTGATAATCCAAACCCTGATCAAATCGATAACAACAATTCCCCAGATGCCAAATCTGCAATCTCAAAAGAGCAGCTGCATGGCTTCAAGGACATGGCTGAAAATGGTAGTAACCGATACTGAGGAACTTCAATCCCAAGACTTGGAAGTCCAGTTTAAGCAGCTGAAGCAAGTCCATCACCAAAGAGAAATGCAACAGCAACATCTTCAACGAAGACTTCGAGACCTACGGTCGCAGCTGCAAGTTAAGCGATTTACCTCAAAGAAAGGACAGAATTTTTTGGAGCAGCCAAAGGTTACTGACACTTGTGCTCAAATTTTAGGTCATTTCGAGCGATCCTTGGGACAGTATGCGCAATATTTGAAAGACTGCCATGAACGACAACTCAAATCTCTGCAAGCGGAAGCTACCAAAGTGGCTCTTCGGGAATCGAATTACTCACCAAAGACAGCAAACAAGAGGAGCAAGGACCAGAACAGGACAGTGCAGGACACGACTAGGAGTCCAAAGATCTCTCGAATGGGAACTTCCAGAGAACCAACTCGAGAGCAGCTGGCGAATAAAATCCAGAAATTGCAACAGACGTTCGAGAAGAATCAGCAGCAACAACAAGAAATGTGGACGCAGTTGCAATCCATGAAACAAAGCCAACGAAGACGGATGTCCGACTCTGACGCAGGAACCGGACGTCCTTCCTGTGATCACGAGACTGAGAAGGACCTGCTGATGTTCGAAGCCAAGTTCCGACAGTATGAAAGTCTTCAACTGAATCTTCACAATATGAAGGTGGATCATTTGAAAGACAAAATTAATAAAATGCAATAACTTGGTACATTTTTATTGTTTTTCTTTACCTGCTTGGTGGTCCAGGGTTAAATTCTGGCATTTCAACCCGGTTTCCCCATGTCAGTGATGCAGGTAAGAGGGACTGACATGGAAAAAGCGTCTAGTTGTTCGGATGGAACAATGAACCGAGGCCTCTTGTGAACGTTTAAGACCCCTGGACAGTTGGAAATCGAGTAGGATAATGCCACTGTCCTGGCAAAATTTCTCTCATTGCACCCTGCATGGCGTTGCCCGTCTTCATTAGCCCACATGGTGCCGAAAGAAGGACGCAAAACTCCATTTATTTCATTTCATTTTATCTGCTTGGTGTAAGACAATCACTTGGCGAAATCCTCTTGTCGTTCTGATAAGATGATATGATAAACCTCGCCTCATTGCATACAATTGCACGTTAAACCTTCAGCCTTCTTCAGCCAATTAGAAATGTAGGCTTCTGACAAAAAATTACCTAATTGCACACTGCATAACGAATATTCTTTCTTGAACCACAGCCTCTCGAGACTTGGGGGACAAATAATGGGCAGACTGATTTATTGGGGATAACTGTCGAGGATGAAATTCATACTGCAGTAGCTCCGTGGAAGCCCAATAGGCACAAGCCTCCTATGGAGCGCCCGAGAGGGTTGTTCTCCCAGAAAAGTCTGGTAGTCTCTCAGAAATGGAGTGGTTGGTACCCTCCTTCTCACGGTTTCCGACGAAATTGGACAAGTTCGGAATACCACGGACTAATCAGTGATGAATCGATTTACTAAATCAAGTTCAACTCGAGAGTCGCTCGGATTAAGAAAATCTGCTTCATCCACCGGAAGTAGTTTCATCAAAGCAAGTGCGACTTGTTTACATACGTGAAAACGTAGAAGAATTTGAGCTATTTTAAAAGTCATGTGTTAGAAGTTGAAATGAAAATATTTTGAAGACACAATGGGGCACGGAAAAAAAGTAATCGTTCTTCAGAATTTGGGATCAACTTTGTCACCCAACAAAAGATGTTCGAAATCCTACCGACCAAATGGAGTCCAATCACAGCTTCTTCCTCCAACATTTATATTATCTCCACGAACTGGAAGGATGTTCATCATGCCGTATTCATCCCTGTCATGGGGATTAACTGTGGAGGCGCTATGACCAAAGCTGAGGCTTTTCCACCATTGCATGCAATTCATCACAACGACAGCATTCAAGAACAGAGTACCGACCACGTTAGCGACGTTCCCAAGCATATAGACCTCATGAAGCCTAAATCAAGACCATCCAAAAACTCAGGAGAAGAGACCGCCGAATTGTTGTTAAAGAAACCAACCAGCCGATCTTCTGAGGATCCATTTAAGGAACTGGTAATTGGATATCAGAGACAGGGGACTCGTCCCATAGGACAACATCGTCATGATGGAGCTAGGGATGTCGATATTGATCAGGATTTTGAATACTTCTTAAAAGAGGAACATCCTTCCGACTCCAAAGGACACAGGCGATACTTTGATCTACACGAAAGGGGGTCCATATTGGACAAGCGGTCGTCAAAACGTTTATGGACAGAGGAAGCCATTAAGGAAGGCAAAGATCTGTATCATTGGCAGCCGGCCGACGAGCAGGAAATTCAAGATGCCGTCCATAGAAATTTCAAAGGACGCTACCTCGTACGCAAGAAGGACCAAGCCATCAAACACCTCATGGAAGAAAAGTTATTGGGGGCATCAAAGAAGACCTACATGCATCGAAAACCCAAAACTCGACGCAGACACAGAAAATCCAAACAAGCAGAAACTTCAGATGGTGTTCCTGCAGCTCAACGTCAACGCAGACAATGGAACATCCGGTCGAGACACCACTTCCGGTCTTTTGACTTCCGACGACTGAGACGAAAGCCTAAAGTCTTTGACTTCATTTTCGAGAAGATGAAGCCGTGCTTTAAGGACAGACGCCCCCGATCGGATTCTGTTGGTTATGACCATTTGGAGACGGACGAGCAGGATGCAGAACATGAAGTCTTTGCCCAAGAAGATGTGCTGGAGAACTCTGATGGTGTTCTCACTAACGCAATGGTTACCGTTGAGCAGGATGCGGTAAACGTTTCTGTGAATCAAGGAATGACTGAACTTGAAGTAGGAGCAATAGAAACCAAAATTGTTTCCGAGGCTTCTACAGTACTTCCGGATGGTGCTTTGATTCACTCAGAAGAGGAGCTAATTTCTGTCCGAAATATGGTCGTCCAAAAGGAAGATAACTCTGTGGATCCTTCCGTCGATCAGAGGGATCAAGTCAAAGAATATCCAACTCATTCAGGGGATGACTTGGAAAGTTCTTCAATAGTGGCAAGGAAATCTGTTTCTGGAATACCAGCCAACCACAATGTACCCCACACACCAAAAGTCCTCGAGAAGAAGCAGTCCAAAACAGGATTCAACATTTATCAGGACATGAAGAAAGTGACACACCAGATCATAGGAAACCAGTCCAGAATTCCCGTTTCCATTGCCAAAAACGAATCCTCAGCGGGTCAGCACGGTATTCTCATGGACAAACAGAATGTCAAACTTAATCTCATAAAGACGATCAAATCCAAAATGTACTCCAAAATCCCCGTGGCGGTCGTACCAGTTCCAATGCGTTGTGCTCCACAACCAAAGACACGGTCTTCGGGAACACTGACTGGTCGCCCTGGTGCAAACCAAGAGAACATGACCTCAAAACCATCAAGTAGATCACAGGAGGAACCCAGAGCAGCTCGTAAGACGAAACCGCGACGGACAGCGGATCAGCGTAAGAGAGGAATACCACAAAGAGTCTTTCTACAGAGGGAAAATTAGGAGTTTAAAGCTACAAGATTGTTCGCTTAGCTTCTTTTGTCACCTGTGCTTTGTATTTTTGGGGTATTGATTGCACTAGCTGATGGAGATCAGTTTTGGCTACCCGAAACACCTTTCATACGTGCACTACCTGTTCATGTACAATATTAGAAGTACATGTATACAATTAATATATACAAGCGAATTCCAACGTCATAATATCCATACTGTTGTGTTTTATTGTATACGAATAGGATGTCGAATTTCAGTTCTGAAAAGTGGTACAGATAGTTGGCATTGAGCTCCAGCAGCTGGTGAACCAACTTATTCTGCAACTTTATGCATTAAAAGAAGCCAAAATGCAATGGCTTCTTGGATTTTGTTTTGTCCAAATTTTTCATCCAAAAGTGCTGTGTATTACATTTTTTGCAATTTTTGTTTATTATTTATTTACATCTGTATTTTTCACATAAAATTTTAAAAATCAACAAAATGTCTACTATATTCTCCCAACATTTTATGTTGAATTTGGAATGTCACTAAAGCATGAGTCGGGGACTTCCTTTCTTTTGGTTGTCACAAAAATATCCATAGGATGTAAAAATTGCTTTGAATTTACCCTATCTGCTTAGAATTGTTCGTTCGATTGCACAAATCACACGTCTGTGGGAATCCTTGTCAAAAGCCCCTTCGGCAGTTCAACTCCATCCTTGTTCCTCAGTAAACGCAACTTAATCTTTCTGGACTTTTGAAGACAATTCATCCATCAAGGCTTGTTTCAACAGCATCAATTCCAACAGTCCTAACTGAAAGACACAAAATTATATTTTCGTGCTCATTGTGGTCGGAAGTGGTACAGGACGTGGTCATTGGGGTAGGAAGTTGTACCGGAAGTAAAACATGTCTTAAATAACCCACCCTTTATGAACACATGATACCACCTCAAGTATTTTCGTGGTAATTTTGGAGTAAAACCACAATGCTTATGACTCTGTTTTTATTGGTTAATTTCAATGGCTGGCCTTAGATTTTTACTTTAAACAATCCTGATTCCACTTTGCGTTTGGGTATATCAACTTGGCATTAGATTCCTCACCTGAACAAGTTTTTCCACGTCTTCAACCTTCAGTTTTGATTCTGACAGCTTCACCACCGTGTGGTTTTCCAGATCTTCGGATTGGTGTTTCACCCTGGCGCACAATTCGCACAGATTCTCGCCGCAGTCCAAACAACGTGCGAAGGCCGCATTTGAGCAAGAAGAACATCGAGTTTCATCTGGAGAACAACCAGTCGCCTCTTCCAGTCCTTGAGTAGCCTGGAAAAGATGTCACTGAGTTAACTAAACGCCACACAGTGTGTAATAAGGGAAACTCTAGCAGAGGTATTAGCCTAATTTTGACTTCTAAGGATCTTTAACGTGTTGTCCTTTTGTACTCCTATCAAAGCGTCAACGGTTGGGAAATGAGCCTTAGATTCCCCATTTTACAATTTTAGCAAAGTAAGCGAACTCATCAGGAGCAACCACTATGGACTTACCATTCCAGCAGGGACGCTAACTGTTCGCCTCTGTAAGGCTGGCTGACTGTGAGGTACATTTATGTCAGTTACCGACAGGCTTCTTTGAACCAGAGCTACGTGTGTCCAGTGTTTGAGTTCGGTTGGATGATGGCCAAGCTGGCAGCCCTGACAAAACAACATATTACACTCCATACAAAACATCGACCATTTTTCTTTTTCACAAAGAACACATTTCTCATCCGCCTGAAAAATTTGGGAGAAAAAGTTTTTAAAGTGGCATTATGCACAAATTTAGAAATATTTATCAAATTCAAAATTACAGAATTTTATTGGATTATAAAGTCCATTGATGAACAAAGATTCCTTAAGGCCAAATTTCAATTTTTCGGTCTAAGAGGTAGTATAACTTTAATCGTGCACAGTCAGTAGCACTCGGTGCTAAGAAAGTAGACTTGCCTTGATTTCTTTTATAGGTTTGACTTCATGATGTGAATCTGGTTCCGGATGAAATGCGCCCAAGCAGGTACTACAGAACAGCATGGCACATGTTTGACATTGAACGATGGCCTGAGACGCAGGTACTCGTTCACACGTACAACATTCCGGACCTAAGTCGTTGACACCAGAACATTCTACTTGTTCCGTGTGATCGTGCGCTTCGGGAAGCGTTACGTCCGACATGTTCAGCAAGTTGTTTGGTTCTTGGCTGTTTGGTGAAGCATCGGGTACTGAGGGACCAGTCTGATTGGGTTGGTCTGACACAGCATCTGGAGCATTGGATGACCGCTCTAATGTGTTGGAAATGGGGATGTTCGGTGAATGGTCGTTGGTCGGTCGCTCATCTGGTGATGATGGAGATTGAGCTTCCGTGGATGGTTCTTGGGTGTCTTCCGACTCTTGGGTACTCTGTGACTCGTTACTTCTGGATGGTGATGATCCACGTACCTGCGAAGGACGCTTTGGAACTGGTGGAGGAACTCGACTCGGGAGTGAACCAAAAACTGGCGGGGGAACTCGACTCGGGAGTGAACCAACGGATCGCCGACTTGGTGGAAGTGGTGGCGGTGTTTCGCCTAGTTGCTCTTCCTCCAGTGTCCGACATACCCGCGGTTTTGGGATAGGCGGAAGAGGAGCTGATCTGCGAGGAACAGGCTTTGCGTCCGATTGACTGTCCTGTGTATGGTCCGGCGTTTTCCTCAAGGACGCCCGAACGTTTTGAATATATGTTAGTGGTTCGGTATTCGCAGTAGCTTCTGACGAATTGATAGGATTTGTGTGTGGTGGACAGCTTTTCGATTTCTTTTGCCTCTGGGTTTGTTTTTGTCGAAGCTGGGCTAGGAACCCGAGTTTGGGTTTGGCACCTTGGGGCGTCTGTTGAAGCTGATGCATCCGTTGCGCTTGCTGAATCTGCGGTGGTTGTTCATGCTGATGTTGTGGTCTTTCGACATCGAGTTGTTGTCGACGCGACGAATCTAGTCGATAAATGTCGATGATGGACGCTAACTGAAAGTTTTTCTTGACGTTTTCACAATTAAGACCGATATCTAACTTTTCTCGACACTGTGGACAATCGATTGTTTTGGACGCAGCTTTGCCTTGTGGTTTCCGAAGTTTGTCCAGGCATGCTTTGCATAGCGAGTGGGCGCATGGTAATAGCATAGGCTCGTTGAACAGCTCCATGCATATGCTGCAGCTCAGTGCGTATTCCATGTCGTCTGCCATTCTGATTGCTCTTGATTGGTCTTGATTGCTGATCTATGCTATCTTCTTCTTTTCATGGCTATTCTACTGTTGTGTCTGAAATGAGATAGAAATTTATTGAATTTAAGGGCATATATCCCTTTAATTGGACGAATCGGAAATGATGAAAATTTCAAGTCTCGTTTATATACCACACCTTATTATCAGTAAAATTTGAAGACCATATCCCTTCGGAAAAATGGGCGTCTAGTCGTTCAGATGGGACAATAAACCGAGACCCCATATGCTACAGGCTTCCCTGGACGTATGGAAATATCTTAAGCTACTAACACTGTCCTGGCAAAATTTCCCTCATTGCACACGTAGACAATATCTATGTTGTTGCCTTATCGTTCTATATACCCAACAGTTTATTTTGTGAACTGCTCGACTGATAACATATCGCCATTACCCTGTATAGAATAGTTTACGCTATCTATTGTAAATATTCTCCCTTATTGTCCGCCATATTGGTTAAGAAATGTCTACTCGACAGAAAGAATTTCGAAAAATCCCATAGGGTTTCTGTAAACTAACTAATACATCAGTCCAAAACACAAAATTAAAACCATAATCCGTCAACATGCAATATTGTTTATAAGAGGCCTTCTTTCGGCCAGTGAACGATGGGAAACGCGCATAATCGCTCGGGTTCGGCGATAAAGATCCCTCGACAAGGCAAAAGGATTAGGTTTATATTAAAATAAGAAATTTTCCTCATTGCACACTACCTAGCTACATATATAATAGGGTACAAACATCCAGGATGTCAAACTCCGTTTCATTTCATTGCACACTGCATAGCGTTGTCTTCTTTTAGTTTCACTTCTGCACTCGGTACAGTGCGCCTAGTACAGCGAATAAGGACGTTAAATAAACGAATCGAAACTGAGTAAATAACCGGTGAAGTCTCTTTTAACAACACGAACCTCGCCTGAAAGCTTGCTTAATCTGGTTCTGTAGTTATATTTGGCAATGTTCCACAAAATAGGTTCCCCCAAAAATCGCACTTACTTACTTGTAGGTGTCAAGAAAAATGGCGAATCCCTTAGCACTATTTTTAGAAAAGTCATATGACTCAGGGGAAGAATTGATCTCCATTGGGATCTCCGAAGTCCGAAAAAGTAAAGTGTGGTCGTGTTTGTGTCAGATTGTGTTTAGGTGCCCGTAACTCTTTTCAGAAAATATCTAAAATACTTGCTTACCGTATAAAACGCCCTAATGGCGAATCCCCTTTTTTTTTTATCTATTGCTATTTGTATAGTGTTTTAGTCACATGACTAATCGATCGTGACATCCTTAAATACCTGTATTGCATATCTCACTGGGAAAGGGGTGTCCCTTAGAACCAGCGTGGGGTCGAATTGTTTTCCTCACCCAAGAAAAGTCTTTTGCACTACCAGAGAAGTGAATTGTCGGAGCAATGCAAGTGCATGTCGGTGAGCTGGGGTAGTGGGGATGGGTAACCTTGCCACTAGAATTAGCCAGGATTGAACTGGATTTTCTTCTGGCAAACTGTCAGCATTTGAGAGAAATTGATCCGTGGGTGGATTATTCGATCTGGATCAACCGCCGGATTTAGTAGAAGTAGGCCTGAGATCACCAACGACGGAAAAATCACAGTTGCCATCGGTCGCCAGTGGCTCCACTACCATAGGAACTGATTGAACCAAGTCCGCGTACCCACATCTGCTAGGGGCCCGCACCCCCAGAAAAAATAGCAGGAGAGCATATTCTAGTTAAGCCACTGTCGATCGCTAATGTTCCACTTTGAAAAATGACTCTTTAAGTCGACCTGGGCAGTCGGAATCTTCGACCATCAAGTTGATCCGGTTGGACGATATTTCGCCAGTGCTCATGTCCCCTGCTTCGGATGCTTTGACTCCCTTGGGTTCCCCTTAAAGACTCGGGAACAGTTACATACCACTGTATACCTCCAAGGAAGGGTATATGAAGATCACACCAGAAACAAGAAATAGTACACTCTGCCTGCTTGACTGGTGTCAGATAGTCTCATAAAAGCACTGGCCTAGGACACAAACTGGGTTGGACCCAGGAGTAAGGAAGCCAAGATGTTCCCATAGCTAATTCCACTCGAAAATTAAGCAAATAAGCAGGCTTACCTGTGAAAGTCCTCGATCCAAAAGAATGCTTTTAGTGTTGAGTCATACTACATCCGGCTTTCCCGAGACGTGGGCTTTGCGTCATATTACAAGCTATTCATAGAAATAACGAATCATATATTGTCATACATACCTGTTCATGCATTTTAGACGGTGGGTATATATGCCCAAATGCCCATTATATGCAAATGGGCTATGGATTTGCTTGTGAAAGTAGGGCATTTTGTATATTTTACGTCCACCGTGTCATCGGACCTGACCTGTCATCTGATTAGCAATAAAAGGTACATGGACAATTGGGGCCTTTGGGAATTGGGTTAGACTACGGTGGGTGTTAAAGGCCCCAATTGCCCACGCCCTTTTTCATGCAAACGGTCAATGGGGCAGACTACGGTGGACGTAAAAGGCCCGAAATGTACTTTTTATGAAAATCCACACAGGATTCTGGTAGCATACTAATATCCGACATGGTCTGTCAAGTGGAAAACGAATTGCTTTATTTGTTGCCATTTTGTGAGATCTTGAAAGATTTGGATGACAATGTTTTGCCATTTTCCTCAATGGATGTCCCCCATCGAATGCATTTAATTTCGTGCCTTAGTTTGTGAAAATGCGAGAAAATTAATTACCAAAATGGAAAAAGGGTATTTTAACTATTAAAAAAGTCGTGCTGCATGAATAAAGTCTATTTGTCAATGTAATTATGTTTTATTTCGGTCTTTTAAGGTACATTTTGTAAATTGTTCATATATTATGTTCAATTTCGGTCTAGTTTGGTGCATTTTTCTAGTACAGCAGCCCTTTGTATGACCTTGACCTGATGATGCGCACGCATATAATTTGAGTAATGGCGGATAAATTAAACTGAAAAATTGTTTTCTGGAGATTGGTAAGCGTTTTAATGTGTTCTATATTTCCTGAACGCCCCTGCATTCTAGGAATTGTCACCAGTTGTCAAGTTTTTCGTAGTTTTTTGAAAATTTTGCCAATACAGCGTAATTCTGCTGGTTAATAATTGAAAACTAGACTCAAATCAAATGTCAAAATTTTAATTTAAACGTCGAATTCAAAAACGAATCCACAACAAGGCCTACTTTGAACAGCATTTGAATTGAATTGTCAGATGCCATCACTGTCCATTAGGTGACACCACTATCCTGGCAAAATTTCCCTCATTGCAAACTCCATGACCTTGCACAGTTGCAGCAGTTCACGGCCTAATCTGAATGAATATTAATAAGAGTTCAAAATTTTTTAGAAAATGATGTCAAATGACACAAGAAAGACAGATATAATGATACAACAGAGACGAAGTTTTCCTTCAGCAGGGAAGATAACTCCTTCTGGTGATCACAGTTACAAAAACATCAGCTTCTCTACACCAGTACTCAATCAGGTAAACTTAACTTAATCCATTAGTTCTATTCAAGTTTGGTACCAGTACATAGGTTTAAATCCAAAACTCTAAAAGCAAAAATATGACCTTATTTTCTGTTTTAACCAATCAAATTTCTAACCTCTCCAGCGTTGGCATTTGGTCATGCTATGTTTATCAGTTTAGGTCAAAAGGTTAATTGGAGGAACATTTAAGAGGGCTGTCGTTAGACCCTAACTGAAGTGGCTAAGTGTTTTAGAACGGCACTAACACTAATGCTGGCCAAGTGAAAATTTAGACACCTGTATCCCTTTTAATTTTTAATCCGGATTTCATTATAGTAAATTGATTCATCAAACATTAATATGTTGTCCTTAGCAACCACATAAACAAATTACATCTCATTTCCCTTTTACTGTCATAAAAAATCAATCAATTCTTGGTGGGTCAATGCTTGCTTTTGATTGGTTGGCTATAAAATTCTAACCAATCAATTTAGTCGATTTCAATTCCAAAATTGTATTGAAACTCAGTGTTGAAAATTATTTTTCAGATTTCTCTTTCATGAGTAATCTTAAAAGAGAATTTTAACCCTCACCTCTGATTGGCTGCAATTTTTCTTCTAACCAATCAATAATGCTTATTGAAGAACTCATTCTGGAATGTCATTCTGTGATTCCAGATTGCTAGCAGACAATTCTATTGATGTTTATAATAACTCTTCCTGTGTTAGCATAAGAGCATTATGTCATAAGAGAGACATTTTATTGAGTTTTATTGTTGCTACGTTGTCACTAAACAATCAGTCTTATTTACCATTTTCTATCTGATGCCATAGTGGAATTGTCAGGAATTTACATTGTCTGTGATTCCTAATTGGAACATGCTTTGTTGGAACTGAAAGTAATTTCCTTTTTTGACCATGTCAGGCTTTTATTTCTATATTTTGGAACTAAACAATCAGCATTTTTACCATTTTCTCTACGATGCCAAGTTGGAATTATCAGGAATCTTGTACATTGTCTGTGATTCCAAATTGGATCTTGATATGTTGGGACTGACAGTAATTTTCACTTTCTGCCTTTGGAACTTTGAGGATTTTTATTCCAAATTGTTTTTCTGTCTTTGACATTGTCAGGATTATTAGAGTCATTTCTCTATTCTGAGGCAGGCTGTAGCACAGTCAGTTAGGGTGTTGTAAACATTACATGATGTCATGGTAATGCTGAACAAATGGTGATCATGGTTCTTATCTTGGACAGCGTGTTCAAATTTAACCTGAAAATTGATTTAAATACCACTTTTACTTTTCCTGATGACATTTGCTTGGTGATGCCGAACAAATGGTGATCATGGGCTCTAATCTTGGACAGCATGTGCAAATATTACCTGAAAATTAGCAAGCTACTTTTGCTTTTGAGTGTTAATTTTTATACTGTCTTCATTTCAGAAAGCAGATAAAAGAAAATCCAACATGGCCAAAGACATTTTTTTGAACAAAAAGCAAGGATTTGGATCACCTTCCTACCCTTCGCCATTAGACTGTATACGTGATTGCAAATCAAAAGTCAACAGAGCCGAGCAACTGGGATTGGTGGTTGAAAACGAGGCTTCGTTTGAGCTAAACCAATCGTTTCCGAAAGTGGCCAAATCGAAAATTAGGCCTGGGCCATTAGATGTTACTACACCAACTGTAGAACAATTCGATTGTAAGTATACCAAGAGTTAGATGTGTTATTTGGCAAAATTTACCTCATTGCATACTGCATAGTGCTGTTTAAAATGACTAAAATGGTGTAAGAGGATGAATTGAAAATTATAACATGGTTCATCAAAAATCTAAAAATTGCTCATATAAAAAATATCTGAAAAAGGATTGGTTCAAATTTGATAAAATTTCTTTCATTGTTTGCAGGTGATGGGTTCAATGATGTGAGTTTTTCACCAGGATTTTGTAAGGGCTCTTTCTCGGTGACAGACAACCTTCCTGAAGTGTCCCTCAATGAAAGCTGGTCATTCTATAACTATATAGGTGGTGGTCAGACTGGACATGCCTTCCCTCAAGCTGTCCGTAACCCTAACAAAGCTATCTGTACCATCAATGCCAAAACATCAGAGGTAAGTCAGGCTTCATACCTTTTTTGACGGGTTGATTTGAGTCTTGAATATATGTAAATAGTCTTCAGAAATACTAGAAATGTACGAAAATCACATAATTCCTTTAAAAATATCTCAAACTAGGAATTATCACTATTTCTATAGATGTCTTTTCTATATATCACAGTGTCTCAAGAAAAGACGACTCATCATTTTAACTTTCAAACATGGATAATTCTAGACACACATGGATTTGAAGGCTCAAATTTCGACTTTGAGCTGGAGACCTTGAATAAGTCATAATTCCAATCAACCCAAATGGGTACAGATAATCTAGGAAAGATCAATGCCAAGAGGTTAAGTCAAGGACCAGCTGGTAGAAAGGATCCTTTGTGAACCTAAGTTATTATCCTTGTAAAATATAGTTGTTTCTTTCTTTCATTTGTAAAAATTTCACCCATTTTCGTTGCAGATATTGGTAGCCAATGAAATGGCTTGTACCTTATTCAGTTACGATCAGAGCCAGCTGATTGGTTTAAATTTAAGAGATATGATACAGCTTAAATCATTGGATCAACTTTTTATATCCGAGTCCCATTTAGAAACCAGTGGACAGATCTTAGAAGTTTCTGGAAAAGTGGTGAGTTGGAAATTATGTTTCCTTATTTATTCCCTGTGCTGACTGAGGTATTCAAAATTATCCGTAGCAAGAAAATGATCCAATGGGTACCAATCATCTGCTAGAGATCAATGTCAAGAGGTTTGGTCAAGGACCAGCTGGTAGAAAGGATCCTTATTATTCCAGTCAACCCAGCTGTAAATGGGTACAGATAATCTGGGAAAGATCAATACCAAGAGGTTTGGTCAAGGACCAGCTGATAGAAAGGATCCTCATTATTCCAGTCAACCCAGCTGTAAATGGGTACGGATAATCTGGGAAAAATCAATGCCAAAAGGTTTGATCAAGGACCAGCTGGTAGAAAGGATCCTCATTATTCCAGTCAACCCAGCTGTAAATGGGTACGGATAATCTGGGAAAAATCAATGCCAAAAGGTTTGATCAAGGACCAGCTGGTAGAAAGGATCCTCATTATTCCAGTCAACCCAGCTGTAAATGGGTACGGATAATCTGGGAAAAATCAATGCCAAAAGGTTTGATCAAGGACCAGCTGGTAGAAAGGATCCTCATTATTCCAGTCAACCCAGCTGTAAATGGGTACAGATAATCTGGGAAAGATCAATGCCAAGAGGTTTGGTCAAGGACCAGCTGGTAGAAAGGGTCCTCATTATTCCAGTCAACCCAGCTGTAAATGGGTACAGATAATCTGGGAAAGATCAATGCCAAGAGGTTTGGTCAAGGACCAGCTGATAGAAAGGATCCTTTAGAACCAAAGCTGTGTTTTCATGTGGACTAAATTCAGGTTGATACAAGTGACTATTACTATATCATTATATATAAATTTGATCTGTATCAGCTGGGAAATCAAATCATGAAGACTGTATCTGTATTGTGGTGCTAATTTCAGGTTGATATAAGTGATAGTGATGGAATGATCATACCAGTTTCATTATGGATTAAGAAACTAGACTGTACAGATAGTGACACTGAAACGGTTCCAAGATGCCTGTGTGTTATGGAACCGGTTAACAGAACGGTTGGAACGGTTTCTTTTACCAAAGAGGTATGTTGTTTCAACTGAAAGACTGAAAGCGTCTGGTCGTTTGGATGGGACATTAAACCGAGGCTCTGTGTGCTACAGGCTGTGCACATTAAAGATCCCTCGCCAGTTGGAAATTGAAAAAGCGTAAGCTAATGCAGGTGTCCTGGCAAATTTTCCTTTATTGCACACTGCATGGCGTTGTCTGTCTTCATTAGCCCACATGGTGCAGAAAAGTAGGACGTAAAACTCCATTCATTTCATTTTCTGAAAAGTTGGATGTAAAACTCCAAATGTCCAAAAGTATATTCATCTATTTCTGTTTTCTAGGGAAGAATCTTGTCGTGTGATGAACAGCTAGCTATGCTGCACGGGTTCAGCACACCAGATGAGCTATGCGGTCAAGAGATGAGTAAACTTATTCCTAAATTAAAATATCCTGCCACAGAATCCATCTTGCCAAAGGTTGGTAATTCTTCGATTTCTGATACTTACAGATCTATTGATAAACTCTGTCTTATACCTTGACTTCATTAAGCACTTTTGTTGTGTTACGTACCTTTGTAATGGTTCCATGAAATTCAGAAGAATTTAGACGTTTTGTTTTTGTATTTTCAGGAAATCAAGAAGCAAACTGCCACAGGAAGAACCAAAGATGGCGCCTCCTTCCCTCTCAGTATTCAAATTCGAACGTCGCAGGAAATGAAAAATGTGATACCTCCAAATGAGAGAGGTATGTTTTTATTTTGATGTGCCGTGTAGAAACAACTATATTTTACAAGGATAACAACTTAGGTTCACAAGGATCCTTTCTACCAGCTGGTCCTTGACCAAACCTCTTGCTATTGATCTTTCCTGGATTATCTGTTCCCATTTACAGCTGGGTTGACTGGAATAATGAGGATCATGTCTACCAGCTGGTCCTTGACCAAACCTCTTGGCATTGATCTTTCCTGGATTATCTGTACCCATTTACAGCTGGGTTGACTGGAATAATGAGGATCTTTTCTACCAGCTGGTCCTTGGACAAACCTCTTGGTATTGATCTTTCCTGGATTATCTGTACCCATTTATAGCTGGGTTGACTGGATTAATGAGTTAGGAAAGCTGACTTATCTAAGATCACTAGACTGACCAAGATTGGAACCCACGACCACCATTGTTCAACACAATCACGCAAACAAACCAACTGTGCTATAGAACCTCTGCCAAAAAGGGGGCTGTGGTAGTTATACAGTTAGGAGTACGCTTGTTTTAGTTTTTGAAATTGAATTGAAAAGAATCTTGAAGCAAAGTAACGAAACTCACTGACCAGGAGTAATAACTGCATGAATATTCTATATTACAGAAACAGAAGAAGCAGTATTCTATGGTATTATTTGGGTATTTGCTAATATTAGTGGTATGATCTGTTTCCGTCCAAATGGTTTAATACACAGTGTCAACGATACTTTCGCTCGAATGCTGTTCGGGTTTAAAAAAGACGAAATTGTCGGCAAGGTAACTATATTTGAGTGGCCAAAGTAAAAACAGGTCAAAATTTGTTTGTGAACACAATAGAGACTACAGTTTTTTTCTGATTTTAATGAAATTTGTTTTGTTTCCAGGATATTGCGACTTTGATTCCAGATTTTTACGAGATCTTAGATATAGTTGATGATGGAATAGCTCTTCCGCCAGTTGATGAGGAATATATCCCTATACCCTCTAGAGGTCAAGGTAACCTAGAGTTTTACACCCTGAAATAATTTCCACCATTTTAAAGTCAAATTAAGCAAACTATTTGATTAATTGGTGTTTCTAATGAATTATCATGTATTCTTAATCATATCATTATGTTCTTATTGCATATAATTAAGAGTTTTAACCAATCATAAATGTACATGTATGTACAGTCTGGATAAACAAAAAAAGACTTTTTAACCTTTCTTGATCGGTCACTGGAATTCTGCTGGTAATTCTCTTCTAATTTAGCTAATTATGAATTAATTATGGACATGTGAGACAAACTGGTATTTTTCCAAGTCATTAGAACACCTCTACTTTCTATTCATATAAGTATTAGCATTTTCATTTTCATAAATAAAAATAAGGGAACCCATCTTTAAAATTACTTCGTTTCATGTTTTTATTCATTCCACAATTTGAACATCGTTTTCAGGAGATGGTGCTCCCAATGACTTTCCCAGTTCCTTACTGAGTAAAACACCAATTGATAAAATACGCCTACATTCTGCTAAAACATCCACACCCGTCAGACCGGAGGAGATGCAGCTAGGAGTGTAAGTATCCATAGCAACTACCACATAAATATTGTTAGATTTGTGGACTCTCTGAAAGGGATACCAAGATGACAAAGAGTCCATGTAGACTCTCCAAAAGTATCTTCGATACAAGTTTTAATTATGAAAAGTGATACAGATGGCTGAAATAAAAGTCTTAGAAGATGACTGTATCCCTTTTAAATTTCCTTTCAGGCCTGAAAAACAATCAAGTTTGAAGGAAGAAGATTATATTATTTTGGACGATACGAATGAAACAGATACATCGCTGCATTACGTAACCATAGACGATTCCACCAGCCAATCAGAATCAAGCAGTGTTCAAATCTTAAGCGTGGAGAGTCACCCGGAGGTAGTGGAAATATCCGACCAGTCGGGAAGTGTTCAATCCACGAACTTAGTCACTGCCAATGCATCAATGCCGGAATTTGACTCGTCAGGAAATGACAGTAGTTTGGTGGAAACTTCCGAAGTGTCTTGTGAAAGCTCGGATGATGGTATCCATGGCGATGTGGAATCTAGTTTCGTGGCACAAAGTGACATTAGTCATGGTCGAAAGGACATTAAAAAGACGTTAGCGGACTTGAGAGTGACGATGACACGGAAAAAAATACTGGATAAGTTTGACAACAGTTCGAGCAGCTCGGACACTTCTGGACAATTTTTGGACGAAAATGTGTCGTGCTTTCTGCCGCTCTTTTCCAAACGTTTGGACAGTCAGTTCCTTAATAGTGATACACAAATTGATGACGAATCCAGTTACTTCAGTCGTGAAAGTTCCGACGCACATTCGTGTCGTTTGAGTTCAGGACATTCTTCCGATGATACGCAGCCTTCGTTAAAGCACGTACCCAAGTTAAATCTTCATGAAACGACCACTGGAACTCAAACCAACTTGTTAGATAAGCTTGTGACAGATAGACCTGAGCTTTTAAGCTTCTCTGGTCAAGCTCAGCATGCTGATGGTTCATCGCTTGGTAAGTATCATCGAAATTCCGTTATTATTTATGTGGACTCTCTGAAATTGATGCTTGACGTTTGTTCTCTAACCTGAAGGTCCAGGGTTCAATCCTGGCATAGGTTGAGAAGATACCTTTGGATTTTTCAACCCAATTTCTACTGATATTGGGAGCCGCGGTGGCTTAGTGAGTTAGACGCTTGCTTGTTAACCTGACGGTCCAGGGTTCAATCCTAGCATAGGTTGAGAAGATACCTTTGGATTTTTCAACCCAGTTTCTACTACTGACACTAGGAGCCGCGGTGGCTCAGTGAGTTAGATGCTTGCTCATTAACCTGAAGGTCCAGGGTTCAATCCCAGCAGGGTGAGATAATAACTTCAGATTTTTCAACCCGGTTTCTCCCTGTCAGTGATGTAGGTTGAAGGACTGACTTGGATAAAGCCTAAGAATCAAAATTGTAATTTTTCAGGAGTGATCTTTCAGATAAAAAGAGTAGAGCTAGGAGATGGAAGCAGTATGTTTTGTATGTGGATATCTAGAGACCCTCATGAACCTGGTGAAGGAGGTAGATCCTGTGCCAGCCTGACTTTAGCTTCCAGTTTTAACAGCACTATAGACCAGTCTTTAGCTAGCCTTAGTTTGGGTGAGGTAAGGACTGTATTGAATTGTAGACTAACTAGATGCGTGATGTTTATTGTGTTAAGTGCTACAATCTTCCACAGTTTATCCGTGCAGTTTATTCCGTCAAAATTTCATTTGAGTTTATTTGATTCTTTTGCAGGCGCTAGTGGAAAAAGCCCACTCTGACTCTAAGCTTGAGAAATCCAATGAAAATACCAAGAAGTCTGTAGAGCCAGAGTATGATCCTGACCAAGGTCCTTACAATCAGCATTATCAAACTCTTACCTCCATTGGGAAAGGTGCTTTCGGTTTCGTCAAGTTAGGCAGACATCGCTCTGATGGCAAAGAGGTATTTATCTGAATCCTTTGGTAATTTATCTGAATTCTTTGGCTATTTATCTGAATTTTGGCTATTTATCTGAATTTTTTGGCTATTTATCTGAATTCTTTGGCTATTTATCTTAATTCTTTGGCTATTTATCTTAATTCTTTGGCTATTTATCTGAATATTTAATCTGATTTTGGGTTATTTATCTGAATTTGGGTTATTTATCTGAAAAAAAAATGCATTCTTTTTACCATTTGTCTATCTGAATGAGTTTGTTTATTTATCTGAATTTTGTTTGTTTATTTTGAGGTGGTAGTCAAGTTTATCCAGAAGAAGAAAGTAAACAAACAAAGTTGGGTGGTTGATAAACAACATGGCCGAACCCCATTAGAAGTGAATTTATTACGAAAACTTGATCATCCTAATATTGTTAAGGTAAACTTTACTAGCCTGACAGAGTTTATTTCAGCTAACTGTGTCCCTTTTCAGAAGGAATATTCAATGTTCAGTTTGTGTAGAATTAAATATAACTTGAACCAGACTCAATTGTGGTACAAATAATCAAAACCAAGTGTTTCAGATGGTCTGAAAGGGAGGCAGAGTTGCCAAACCCAAGTATCAAATAAAGCTTATTAGCCGTGTGGACTCTCTGAAAGATATTGAATTGACTAGGCTACAATTCTGATGAACATAATAAGGGTTGTGAACTCTCTGAAAGGAAAACCATAATACCTCATGAACTCTCTGAAAAATGATGATTCTATTTTTGCTAGGTTGTAGACGTGTTTGAAAATGATTTATTTGTACAAATGGTGATGGAGAAGCATGGCCTAGGCATGGATCTGTTTGAATTTATCGATCGCTGTCCTAGGATGGACGAAGCCTTAGCGAGCTACATCTTCAGACAGGTAACAAAATTCTCATAGCCTTTTGGGGAGCCAAAGAGCTCAAGGAGTTAGATGCTCGCTGGCTTGACAATCTTCTGTCCAAGCAAAATTTCCCTCATTGCAGACAGTTTACAGTGTCATGGTATTAGGAATGTGGTCTTATACCTTGACTACATTATACCTTTTCTTGTATCATTGAAGTTTGTAAATACAGTGATTTGATTGGATTGTGTGCTAGAGAATACAGCCAATCAGAGGCCTCGACAGAAGCTAAAGGTGTGCATGTTAAAAAGTTGGCTATTACCACAGTCCTGCTAAATTGTCCACCATTGTACACTGCACTAGGTTGAGAATACAAGGGTGTAAAACTTTACACGATTGAACACTGCATAGCGTTTCTTCATTAGCCCAGGTATTTTCAGAAAAGAAGGGTGTAAAACTTTATTTTCTTTCGCTATTATAGATGGTAGCTGGTATATCTTACCTACACAGCAAAAATATTCTACATAGAGACGTTAAAGATGAAAATATAATCTTAGACGAACGATTCCACATCAAACTCATAGACTTTGGCGCCGCCGCCTACATGGAACCAGGCAAACTCTTTGGAACTTTCTGTGGAACTTTGGAATACTGCAGTCCAGAAGTAATCAGTGGAAATAAGTAGGTTTTTGTTTTTAGTTCCAAGAATTTCAAATAGGATTTTTGGCTTTTCTTGTATCAGAGATACTTATGGCTCCCTAGGCACCATTCTGATTTTCGGTCAGACATCTGCGGTTCCTGTAATTCCAGGATTTTTACCAGATTTGGCGCACAATGTATGGAAAGTTTGAAATCAAAAAGGCTAAGCCAAGACAAACTGGAGCCCAAAATAAGGATGTAAAACTCTGTTTCTTTTCAGATATAACAGTACCTATATTAGGGGAATAGTTCCCTCATTGCACACTGCATGGTTTTGCCCATCTTCATTAATTCAACTTGATGTAAAACTACATTGCGAACCTATAGAAGTCCAGAGCTAGAAATTTGATCTATGGGAGTGACTCTATATAACTTAGTATTTGGAGAGAATCCTGACAAAATTTCCCTCGTTGCACACTGCATGGTATTGCCTATGTCCATTTGTTCAAACAGAAAATTTTGTTTCTTTTCAGATATAGGGGACCAGAACTAGAAATTTGGTCTATGGGAGTAACTCTCTACACCTTAGTTTTTGGAGAGAATCCATTTTTTGATGTGGATGAGACCATAGCTGGTATTCTTAACCCACCTTGCCAACAGTCTAATGGTAGGTCGTTTCCATGGTTACACTTTACAAATGGTGGTCAGGGTTCTAATCTCAGTCAGAGTTTGAAAGTGACCTTGAATAAGTCATCTTTCCTCATTATTCCAGTCAACCCAGCTGTAAATGGGTACAGATAATCTGGGAAAGATCAATGCCAAGAGGTTTGATCAAGGACCAGCTGGTAGACGTTCAGATAGGAACTGGTGTGCTACAGGCTGTGCATGTTAAAGATCCCTCGACAGTTGGAAATCGAAAAAGAGTAGACTAATGCTACTGTCTTGGCTAAATGTTCCTCATTGAACACTGCATGGCGTTGCCTTCGTTAGTCTAAACTGTACCTGGAAAACAAGAAAAACTAATCCATTTTATTTTGTTTCAAATTTGAACAAGTTTTGACATGATGAATTGACTATGTTTCAGCTCTGATGTTTTTGATTTCGTGGATGCTGCACACGGACCCTCGTTGTCGAGCAACTATTAATGACCTTGAAGAGAACGCATGGGTCAATCAAGAAATTGATGTAAACAACTATATTTGGGAAGAGGTCCTGCCTAATTGTGGTAAGTATTTTACTTGGATTGAAACTGGTTAGCTTCAACGGGGCAAAGGCAAAATCCTTTTATGTTTACTGAAATTTTGTGGACATCTCCATTATAAGCCTACTCGATTTTTCGATTTCCAACTGTCGAGGGATCTTTAATGTTTGGGAAATACAAACTGTGTCTTTCTTTGGCATTACCCAATATTTTTTGGTAATGCCTTGCAATTTTTTTTGCAGAATTTACTGGAAACACAGCCTGTGATAATCGGGATGATCTACCAGATGGCAGTCCGGCCATGTTCATAAAAACAGATGACACGTCAACAGAAGATGAGGACAATTTATCTAAAATAATGCAGAAAAGTTTAGTTTTAGACGATACTTCCACTGAATATTTCTAACGATGCAAGGGGAATTTTTTTACCATTATTTAGGACTTCTGGTTCCATGACATTCTGGAAAATAATCTTCCAAACCGAAAACAGTGGTAGAGCACAAGTGTATACCAAAATTTCTGAAGAAGGGAACACACTTTGGAGTCATCATGAGTTGTTTTTTAAAGAGATTGTAAAAAGATTTTCTACATTTTTTTATGTGTATCAGGGACACTGATAGCATCAATCAATCCAAGTCAATCAGATCTGTGGTTCCTGCAATTCCACGAAAACTAAGCATTTTATGGCGTCACCATCTGCTGTTGATATCTAAGGAACTTTGCGATGTTGATGTCATACAACATTTAGTCTTAGTGGAATTGCAGGAACAACAGACGTCTGATTGAAAACTGGAATGGTGGAAATCAATGCTATCAGTGTCCCAGATACACATGAACAATTTAGAAAACCTTTTTACAATCCCTTAGCCAAGATATTGGCCCTGTTTCTACCTAGCAACGCATATACAAAGTTTTTACGAACTAGACAGAGTGTATTTGATTTGGGTATTTTTAATTCAACAAATCACATACAAAAACATAGTTAAAGTGGAAACAAAATTGATATATTTGTGTACAATGGGAGTCATGATTTTTTTATTTTGAAGCTGCCTTTAAGCCATTTGTGTACTTATCCTGCCAAAATTGTCCAAAATTTGTAAATATAGCTACGCAATTATATTTTATATTGATAGGAACTTAATATATTAATTTTATTTATATTTAAAAACATAATATTATATTGTCATGTTACCAGCTGATAGAGCTCGATTTCAGCTGTCTGTATAGTCATCTAAATATTTACTTTACCAGCTGATAAAGCTGCATTTCAGCTGTCTGTATAGTCATCTGAAAATTTACTTTACCAGCTGATAGAGCTTAATTTCAGCTGTCTGTATAGTCATCTTAATATTTACTTTATCAGCTGATAGAGCTGCATTTCAGCTGTCTGTATAGTCTTCTAGATATTTACTTTACCAGCTGATAGAGCTCAATTTCAGCTGTCTGTATAGTCATCTTGATATTTACTTTACCAGCTGATAGAGCTGCATTTCAGCTGTCTGTATAGTCATCTAAATATTTACTTTACCAGCTGATAAAGCTGCATTTCAGCTGTCTGTATAGTTGTCTAAAAATTTACTTTACCAGCTGATAGAGCTGCATTTCAGCTGTCTGTATAGTCTTCTAGATATTTACTTTACCAGCTGATAAAGCTGCATTTCAGCTGTCTGTATAGTCATCTAGATATTTACTTTACCAGCTGATAAAGCTGCAGTTCAGCTGTCTGTATAGTTGTCTAAATATTTACTTTACCAGCTGATAGAGCTGCATTTCAGCTGTCTGTATAGTCATTTCAGCTGTCTGTATAGTCTTCTAGATATTTACTTTACCAGCTGATAAAGCTGCATTTCAGCTGTCTGTATAGTCATCTAGATATTTACTTTACCAGCTGATAGAGCTCAATTTCAGCTGTCTGTATAGTCTTCTAGATATTTACTTTACCAGCTGATAAAGCTGCATTTCAGCTGTCTGTATAGTCATCTGAATATTTACTTTACCAGCTGATAAAGCTGCATTTCAGCTGTCAGTATAGTCATCTGAATATTTACTTTACCAGCTGATAGAGCTTAATTTCAGCTGTCTGTATAGTCTTCTAAATATTTACTTTACCAGCTGATAGAGCTTAATTTCAGCTGTCTGTATAGTCTTCTAAATATTTACTTTACCAGCTGATAGAACTGCATTTCAGCTATCTGTACCACTTTTCAGAATTCAAATCTAACATCAAGTTCCCCTTTTATTTTGTGCAACTGGACATGTGATTTTACTTTTAAAAAGTGTTACAGATGGCTGAAATATCTTGCATATATTTAGGTAACAATATATCCTTCATGAAATTAAGATTACTTTCATAGCATTAGTTCATATACTTTTGAGTTTATATGGTTTGTTAGGCAAGTTTACTCTTCTAGAACACCTGATGCCACTCTACAACTAGGTGCTTCAACCTGGTAACATGTTCAGAGAGTCCACATGGTTGATGATGTATGTTAATATCACTTAAAATATGATGCTAGCTAGAAAATTCAAGCCAGAAGACTTGGGGGCACTCTCTGGTTGTGTTTGTCAAGTTAGCGTCAGTTTTAGGGACTCCACATGAGGGAGTTCTCTGTTTCAGAGTGTTCACATGGTTGAAAATATTTCACAGTAATGTGATTGTGTGTGAAGACATGGCCCCTATGCCTTCTATGCAAGTAAGCTTACCTTTTCAGAACACCTAATCCCACTATAAGAATAGTTTTGGGTGCCTGAACCATGTAATGTTAACACATCCGGTAAATATTTTTGTATTAAATTTCATTATATTTGGAATTAACTTTCTATAGAATTGTATGTTCAATAAAAATACAAGCATCATTTTTGACTATGTTATTTTGGCTGTATTTCCCCCTGGTGCTTGCCGCAATTGACAGTTTTGGCAAGTTTTCCCCCCTAGTGTTCGCCATATTTGACACACTTGTTTTGGCTTGATTTCCCCCTAGTGCTCGCCATAGGTTTTGGCTGGATTTCCCCCTAGTGCTTGCCGCAAATTGCCACTGTTGTTTTGGCAAGATTCCCCCCTTAGTGCTTGCCGCAATTGACACTGTTGTTTTGGCTTGATTTCCCCCTAGTGCTTGCCGCAATTGACACTGCTGTTTTGGCTTGATTTCCCCCTAGAGCTTGCCGCAATTGACACTGCTGTTTTGGCTGGGTTCCCCCACCCTCCTCACATGTATTGCCTCTAGAAAAGACAAGCAATTCCATTGAGTAAACTCTCAATGCGTTGAAAGGGCTATCTAAAGAATGATGGTCAAAGGGAAGTAACTACATTTAATACTCCTTCAGTCAGACCACAGTTAACTAGTTGTAACGCGGAATGGTTCAAAAAATTTTTTTTTTTACATTAATTTTATTGCAATTTTTTTTATTCCTCCAAGTCTTTGAATTTTTGCTTTTGTACTCTAAATATTTTATGAAAAAAAAATTAGTATTTGGTAATTTTCGCCAATGGTCGTGGTGATTAATATGTGAACCATCATTTGAAATTGCCTTTTTGAATTTTATCTATGTGGGTTTTGGCCTTGGCCTTTGTTTCTATTGTGTATGTTGAGGTTTTGTGCGTGCATAGTGTAGAGAATTTAATACAAATACTATATGATTAATGATATACTCTTACCTTCAATTTTTCTTCATACCTTGTGGTCTCGAACTCGTATAGCTGGACAGCGATGGCGGACGAACTGTTTTACCGATCGAGCCATCGCACTTGACTGAATACTGCTTGTCGACTTAAAGGTTATATGGTTTGATTTGTACAAAGAGCAGTCATCAAAAAGTAGACTGGTTAGTCCAAGAGACTGGATGTTAGAGTCTACTCGGGCTGGGTCAACTGGTGAACACTTTGCACGTGCTTTTTGCGATAGCTCAGTCGGTTAGACTGTTGATCTCTCTCTCTATCTTTTGGCCGTGGGTTCGAATCCCAGAGTGAGTACTGACATGTTACAATTTTTTTTTTTATAAAACTACACCTTCTAGTGGCCCCATGCGTTCACTGGCCCAACACAAAAATAAAATTAGGTCGACCGTCGCTTGGAAAAATTCTATTCTCGAGATAAACTCGTTATTCCGACCTCTTTCCAAAGCAACAAGATGGTATTAGTCCAGGATTGGGCACTTGCTAAACACCCTCTCTTACTGTAGTCGTGGTGGGCGAGTGGTTAGAGCGGTGTAAAGTAGGCTTTTACGATGTGAAGGTTGAGGGTTCGAATCCCGGTGGAAGCCGCCTGTATTTTTCTCGTCGTATTTCCCTCATGGGCGATAGTTATGTATGTTTATTGACTGCATGGTGCATCAGGCTAGGTAGCTCGAGTGGTTAGAGCGCTGGTCTGGCGAGGTAGAAGTCGAGGGTTCGATTCCCATATAGAGAATGTACCCTGTGAATTTTTATACTAGGGTTAATTAAGGTTACAGTTATAATGGATAAAAATTCCAAGTTTGTGTTCGACTGGATGGCTCAGTGGTAGAGCGTCGGGAGAACACGGTTGTAATAACGGCATCCATAGTATGGACTAACATCCTCTAGAAATTTAGGTGGGTTCGAATCCCACGGGGAAATCCAGATATGAAAGATTTTCCATAGTGGGCACTCAAAACCACTAGAATCTGCTTTGGACGTTAAAAATACTTTAAAACCGAAAGTTGGGTTTGAGTGGGAATCGAACCCGGGACGTTTGAATGATAGAAAAACGTAGGGAGGGATGAACAACTCTACGACCACGGCCAAAATAGGTGGGATTTAAACAAGTGTTCGTAAGTAATATTTAAAGTTCAAAGTCACAGCCTACTATAGTAGTAAAATAGTAAGTATCTTCCTCTCTCCTTTTAGAATCTTGGAGGGTCCCGGGCACCTGTTTGCCCCTCGGCTCCCCTCCTTGTCTCTCGTTCTTCTGCTTTGCCCCTCGTTCTATCTATTGGTAGTGTCTTGCCTGCGGCAGGCCCAACGTGTCAACTGACATCTTACCTCTAGAGAACTCAGGTCTCTCATATTAGAATGAGAGAGAGAACATGAGACAGTGAC